CATAAGGAATCATTTTCATTCGGGATCCACCAATACCAATGCTGGATTGGCAGATACCCAATCCAGAAAAATGCATTGGATCTTTTGTTGGAGTTTTCAGTTACACTAAAACAAACAGTTGCACTATATCATAATTTATGATAGACCTTACATCTCCGTACAAACAGCAGGACATGCACATGTTAAAAGCAACATGACCATAATATGTATACAGGATACAATCAGGCTGCAAATAAATATAAAAACCAGTATAACCTTAAGTCATCTTTCTACACGCAACATTATTTGTGAGAAAATCTCACATTGTAGCTCAGTAAGACAAAAACTGTTTGGCTTCTCCACTCATGGTGGTGTAATGGTTCTTTTGGCACCCCATCTACTGTGTCCATTTTAGGAATGTTTTGTTAACGTCACTGTTTTTTTTTTTGCGTTCGTCTCTGGATATGTTGAATAGCCCTGGGTAGAAGCACACATTTTGTCGCTCATGCTAGTGAAACTAATAAGATATGATAAGATAAGATGTGCTTTATTTATCTCACAGAGGAGAAATTTACATTTTTTTTTTAATGAAACATAAGAAAATAAATGAAAGAAAATGGAGATGTTCACCACTTAAGTAATTCAAGAATGGCATGTGTTTGTTGAAGTCTCACAGGGTAAGCCAATGTTAGACAGAATAAGATTACGGCCACAGTGATGGTGGTGCCAGTCCCTTAGACACCAGAGAATAACAGTCTGAGATCCCACCTCCTGAAGACACTGGGGAGGCTGGTCCTGGGCCACCCGCGGTCCTTCGCCTCCACGATGAACTCAGCAATGGATCCTATTGGCTTTTTTCTTATCTTGTTGTTCCCAAAGCTCTTCAAAGCTCTTCTCATTTGTGATTTCATTTAGTGATTAATCAATCAATCAATCAATCAAATTTTATTTATAAAGCGCTTTTCATACAAAAAGTGTAACACAAAGTGCTTTACAGTTTAGTTAAAAACAATCCAACATGCCCAGCCCTAAACCCTCCTCCCCACAGACCCCCCAAAATCACATTTATAATTATATATACAATACACACACCCACACACACACACACACACACACACACACACACATATACACAAGTAAAAAGTCATATCAGGTAAAATAGGTAAAACAATAAAAAGAAATGGGGCTGGGAGCATCTTGCAGGCCTGTATAAGATCAACTCCACCTCTTTCCTGGTAGAGCAAATACAAAAGCAGGCTCCTCGTAGCCGTCTAAACACATGCATGATTGTTGAAAGTGGTCGGGGTGTGATTGTGACTTTGATCAATGACTGGGGAAAGTCATTAGCAGCATGGGCCCGTGTGCGAGGCGGGCTCTAATTGTGTGCCACTCTCTAATTCAGGGCTGTAATTGACAGCTGGATGAAGCAGGTGTGCCCCACGTCTCCGTGGGACGAGTCAGAGCCGAGGGGACGAGGACAACACAACTGTCCAACGGAAAAACTGAGGAAAACAGGTTTTTATGGGTGTTGAATTCTGGCCAAATTACATCAAGTGAAAGAGTGTGGAAGTGTATCAAACATACAGGTCTGCAGAGTATGAGGGGATGAGTCACAGCCGGCTGCTCATAATCAAGCACCATGATTAAGCTCTTGGGGAGTGGGCCCGCATGAAACCCTTTGGAGATGTCCTCTCCCTTGGAGCCAAGTACACTCATTACCTCCATGCAGCCGGGACGTGGGTGCTTCATTAGCTTCTGTGCCGACTAGCCCGTATTTGTTCTTCGTTTTTCAGATTCTTGTAGAGTGAAAATGTTCCTAAAGAGCCCTTGACTGTAACAGTTTGAAGTCTATGACTGGTTTGTGTGAGAAAAAAGCTCCTACTGCAATGATTGCAATCTTGGTGAAAGAACTTTTGCCCCTATAATTTTACATAATGCATTCAAATAATGGAAGTGACGAAGCCATTCATCGGCACTCCAGATCACTCTTTTAAGACTGTGGTTGAAGCGATGAGTGAAAATGGGGTCTTATTTCAGTTATAACCAATACAATTTTGATAAAAGAAAGCTGAGAAGACACGTCTGACCCCAGCTGCAGAGGCCTGACCCTCCCACATGGAGATCTGCTGCATCTTCACAACTCATTAGCACAGGCCATGGAGGTCTGCACCTCCAACCACAACTGTGACCACCGCCATCTGGAGTCTACAAACACTGAGCTTTTGGAGCAGTCGTAAAGCACAGACTGAAAGTGCATTCAGCTTCCTAAACATAATGTATTTCTCTTCTAGCATGTGCTTTTGTCTGACTGTAGGGACTGTTCCCAGGAGCAGACCTTGAGAGAGTACATAAGTATGCATGCTGTACCCACAGCCACAGCCTCCAGGCTCAGGAAGATGGATGTCCACTAAGTGTTTTGTAAATCATATTGCACTCCATAGATTAAAACCATTCTTGATAAACCTGCTGGCATAAAGATCTTCTGTTTGAAACATTCATGATGCATCGCCTCTTAAAACTTTAGAAGCGCATCTCGACTGCCTCTATAATTGAGTGTTTCCCATTTCTCAATCTGTTTCTGTTTGTAGTGATCCTTGATGCCTTAACAGCTCTCAGACTTATTGATGGCTTGTCTATTGTTTCTGTTGATGCCTGTCCACATGTGGAGAAAAGGAGCCGTGTGACTTTTACACACGAGAGACTCTGAGCTGGTTCTCCTCCTCAAAATCTGGATGTGTTGATAATTCTCTTACAGCGAGAAGCAACACAGACAGATGTCCCATATCCATCACGGCTCTATCTATCGTGCAGCTGGTGACAGTGCATCACAAGCATTGATGGCCACTGTCTCCGAGTCTGTGAATGTCACGGTTTCAGACTACACCTGTCAGGGCTGTGCAGGTGCAGAAGACACGCACCGACGACGTTTTTTTCACAGCATGTAAAACTCAAATTCATTATGTACAATAGTACTCTATCAATGCCTCCTGAAGTGCTTGGTTCACACCTCTCTCTGCCCCTGAAACACTCAAGGAGACTTTGCTGCCGCTTGCGATCATCTGTCATTGCATTCACGGCCGCAAAGTTCCAACATAAACTGTAATTATGTTCTCTGGCGCCCCAGTAAGACAACACCACGGACTGACGTCGCTTCTGGCATGTCCGATCACTACTCGTCCGGCTTGCGTGTCGTCTCATCTTTAGCTGCCACTTTGCTTCAACCTGAGCGAGCCGTGGATGGCGGATGGCAAGGAGGCAGGGCGGATCAAATGGCAAGGCGGTTATGAGACGTGCGCGCTGCTGTTTTGGCCGCCGCGCCAGTCAATCACCATTACAATGGCGGGGAGAGATGGAGGCGCCGATGCAGAAAGAGCAGCGCTGATAATTACAATGCAAGGGACAAGATAATGGGAACACACTGCACTCTCCCAATCATTTCATGTATCGGCTGCCTGGCTGACCCCCCCTCCCTCCCCCCGCCTCGCTGACAACCGGCAATCACAGGTCATATTTGTGAAATCCAAAAATGAATTAATTCGACGGCGGTGCGCAGGGTTGGGATCGGCTCTGTACGCAGCCGTGCTCGGTTTGGTCAAATGTCAGGGAATATTTACTTCTGCTTTCCCCTGGCTAATCAGCTCATGGGATTGCGATTATCTCCAGAAGATAAACAAGAGGAGAGCAGACAGGTCACAAGGCTTTGAAGGAACCGCAGGAGTTAGACTGCCATGTGCACGAGGAACCGGAGGAGACACATTCACCTGCTGTTTATTGGAACAGGTTTGTCTTTAAGGAACAGGAAGAGTGTCATGTTTTTCCCTGTTGGAGACCAAACACGACGAGGAGAAATGAGAGATTGCTTCATGACACATTTCATACGACATTTTCTTTTTTAGTGACTTCAAAATTGGCAAACAAAAACACAGGCAGTCTTATTGTAAAACAGGTCTGTTTAGCTGCAGCCAACTGAAGGATCTTCACTATTTTCATTGTACTGTGATTATTTATGATTGTGATGTGTGACTGTAGGGCCCAGGCTGAAGTCAGCCGTGGTGGCACCGGGCAGCAGTGCTGTTTGCTTCAGGGTCTGGAGGTGAATGTGGATGAATGAGTGTTTGATCGGAACTTCTTCCTGCAGTCAACCACCCTCCTGGAGGAAAAGGTTTATGGCTAGATTGTTTCTTGATCTTGTTTTGTTAGGCACTTTGAGTTTCCTGTGTATGAACTGCGCTATACAAATAAACTTCCCTTGCCTTGTGAGTCGGCTCACCTCCCAAACTGCACCGGGAACCTGTTTTTCTCATACTAAAGCTGATCTCGGCCAATACAGAAAGCCTGAAATATGATGTAGTACATCTTACAGCAGGGATAAGTTATATTTTGGCCTAATTCATTCTTGGATTTAACAAAAACTTTGGTATTTCATTGGTAATTGATTCAACGATGCAGAATGAGTCTGGTGTGTGTGTGTGTGTGTGTGTGGATGGTTAGTGGTGGTGGGAGGGGCCAATGGCACATACTGGTTGCCTCGCTTCTGTCAGTGTGCCCCAGGGCAGCTGTGGCTATAGTACTTTATCACCACTTTGTACATAGTGAAATAATAATGCCATGTGAAGCGTCCATTATCATTATAAAGTGATGCCAATTGAGATCATCTTCATCGAGATTACGAGTGGTAACAAAAGTGGCTGTTTGATTAATGTCATTATAAAGTATTTATATCTGTTTTGGGCTGAACATCTTTCTTTTACCAAACGGAAAATGTATCAAACCGAAGCCAAACAACAACAAAACCTTCTGCTTTCACTCCTTCAAACACACAAGAGTAAAGTCTTCTTTCCACCTCTTTCTCAAAGTACAGACCCAGGGGAGAGTTGGGTTCACGCGGCTCCTTCGTATCCGCAGCTAACATTAATCACAGGATCTTGTGAATAACTTTAAGCATTAATCCTTAAGTGGCTAAATGGAAATGAAGTTGTTTATGATGTGCATGATTAGTGACGTGTCGCCGTTTAGTGACATCACATCTGAGGGTGAGTGTGGGACTGACGCCGTGTGGGACTGACGCCGTGTGGGACTGACGCCGTGTGGGACTGAGGCCGTGTGGGACTGAGGCCGTGTGGGACTGAGGCCGTGTGGGACTGAGGCCGTGTGGGACTGAGGCCGTGTGGGACTGACGCCGTGTGGGACTGAGGCCGTGTGGGACTGAGGCCGTGTGGGACTGAGGCCGTGTGGGACTGACGCCGTGTGGGACTGACGCCATTTGGGACTGACGGCGTGTGGGACTGACGGCGTGTGGGACTGACGGCGTGTGGGACTGAGGCCATTTGGGACTGACGGCGTGTGGGACTGAGGCCGTGTGGGACTGAGGCCGTGTGGGACTGAGGCCGTGTGGGACTGAGGCCGTGTGGGACTGACGGCGTGTGGGACTGAGGCCGTGTGGGACTGACGCCGTGTGGGACTGAGGCCATTTGGGACTGACGGCGTGTGGGACTGTGGGCCGCGTGGGACTGTGGGCCGCGTGGGACTGTGGGCCGCGTGGGACTGTGGGCCGCGTGGGACTGAGGGCGTGTGGGACTGACGCCGTGTGGGACTGACGCCGTGTGGGACTGACGCCGTGTGGGACTGACGCCGTGTGGGACTGACGCCGTGTGGGACTGACGCCGTGTGGGACTGAGGCCGTGTGGGACTGAGGCCGTGTGGGACTGAGGCCGTGTGGGACTGACGCCGTGTGGGACTGAGGCCGTGTGGGACTGACGCCGTGTGGGACTGAGGCCGTGTGGGACTGAGGCCGTGTGGGACTGACGCCGTGTGGGACTGAGGCCGTGTGGGACTGACGGCGTGTGGGACTGACGGCGTGTGGGACTGACGGCGTGTGGGACTGACGGCGTGTGGGACTGAGGCCATTTGGGACTGACGGCGTGTGGGACTGACGGCGTGTGGGACTGACGGCGTGTGGGACTGACGGCGTGTGGGACTGAGGCCGTGTGGGACTGACGCCGTGTGGGACTGAGGCCGTGTGGGACTGACGCCGTGTGGGACTGAGGCCGTGTGGGACTGAGGCCGTGTGGGACTGACGCCGTGTGGGACTGAGGCCGTGTGGGACTGACGGCGTGTGGGACTGACGGCGTGTGGGACTGAGGCCGTGTGGGACTGACGCCGTGTGGGACTGAGGCCGTGTGGGACTGAGGCCGTGTGGGACTGACGCCGTGTGGGACTGACGCCATTTGGGACTGACGGCGTGTGGGACTGACGGCGTGTGGGACTGACGGCGTGTGGGACTGAGGCCATTTGGGACTGACGGCGTGTGGGACTGAGGCCGTGTGGGACTGATGCCGTGTGGGACTGACGGCGTGTGGGACTGAGGCCGTGTGGGACTGACGGCGTGTGGGACTGAGGCCATTTGGGACTGACGGCGTGTGGGACTGAGGCCGTGTGGGACTGAGGCCGTGTGGGACTGAGGCCGTGTGGGACTGAGGCCGTGTGGGACTGACGGCGTGTGGGACTGACGGCGTGTGGGACTGAGGCCGTGTGGGACTGACGCCGTGTGGGACTGAGGCCGTGTGGGACTGAGGCCGTGTGGGACTGAGGCCGTGTGGGACTGAGGCCGTGTGGGACTGACGCCGTGTGGGACTGACGCCATTTGGGACTGACGGCGTGTGGGACTGACGGCGTGTGGGACTGACGGCGTGTGGGACTGAGGCCGTGTGGGACTGACGGCGTGTGGGACTGAGGCCGTGTGGGACTGACGCCATTTGGGACTGACGGCGTGTGGGACTGAGGCCGTGTGGGACTGAGGCCGTGTGGGACTGAGGCCGTGTGGGACTGAGGCCGTGTGGGACTGAGGCCGTGTGGGACTGAGGCCGTGTGGGACTGACGCCATTTGGGACTGACGGCGTGTGGGACTGACGGCGTGTGGGACTGACGCCGTGTGGGACTGACGCCGTGTGGGACTGACGCCGTGTGGGACTGACGCCGTGTGGGACTGACGCCGTGTGGGGACTGACGCCGTGTGGGACTGACGCCGTGTGGGACTGACGGCGTGTGGGACTGAGGCCGTGTGGGACTGAGGCCGTGTGGGACTGAGGCCGTGTGGGACTGAGGCCGTGTGGGACTGACGCCGTGTGGGACTGAGGCCGTGTGGGACTGAGGCCGTGTGGGACTGAGGCCGTGTGGGACTGACGCCGTGTGGGACTGACGCCGTGTGGGACTGACGCCGTGTGGGACTGGCGCCGTGTGGGACTGACGCCGTGTGGGACTGACGCCGTGTGGGACTGACGCCGTGTGGGACTGACGGCGTGTGGGACTGACGCCGTGTGGGACTGAGGCCGTGTGGGACTGAGGCCGTGTGGGACTGAGGCCGTGTGGGACTGACGCCGTGTGGGACTGAGGCCGTGTGGGACTGAGGCCGTGTGGGACTGAGGCCGTGTGGGACTGACGCCGTGTGGGACTGAGGCCGTGTGGGACTGAGGCCGTGTGGGACTGACGCCGTGTGGGACTGACGCCATTTGGGACTGACGGCGTGTGGGACTGACGGCGTGTGGGACTGACGGCGTGTGGGACTGACGGCGTGTGGGACTGAGGCCATTTGGGACTGACGGCGTGTGGGACTGAGGCCGTGTGGGACTGAGGCCGTGTGGGACTGACGGCGTGTGGGACTGAGGCCGTGTGGGACTGACGGCGTGTGGGACTGAGGCCATTTGGGACTGACGGCGTGTGGGACTGAGGCCGTGTGGGACTGAGGCCGTGTGGGACTGACGGCGTGTGGGACTGAGGCCGTGTGGGACTGACGGCGTGTGGGACTGAGGCCATTTGGGACTGACGGCGTGTGGGACTGAGGCCGTGTGGGACTGAGGCCGTGTGGGACTGAGGCCGTGTGGGACTGAGGCCGTGTGGGACTGAGGCCGTGTGGGACTGAGGCCGTGTGGGACTGAGGCCGTGTGGGACTGAGGCCGTGTGGGACTGAGGCCGTGTGGGACTGACGCCGTGTGGGACTGAGGCCGTGTGGGACTGACGGCGTGTGGGACTGACGGCGTGTGGGACTGAGGCCGTGTGGGACTGACGCCGTGTGGGACTGAGGCCATTTGGGACTGACGGCGTGTGGGGACTGACGGCGTGTGGGACTGACGGCGTGTGGGACTGACGGCGTGTGGGACTGACGGCGTGTGGGACTGAGGCCGTGTGGGACTGACGCCGTGTGGGACTGAGGCCGTGTGGGACTGACGCCGTGTGGGACTGAGGCCGTGTGGGACTGAGGCCGTGTGGGACTGACGCCGTGTGGGACTGAGGCCGTGTGGGACTGACGGCGTGTGGGACTGACGGCGTGTGGGACTGAGGCCGTGTGGGACTGACGCCGTGTGGGACTGAGGCCGTGTGGGACTGAGGCCGTGTGGGACTGACGCCGTGTGGGACTGACGCCATTTGGGACTGACGGCGTGTGGGACTGACGGCGTGTGGGACTGAGGCCATTTGGGACTGACGGCGTGTGGGACTGAGGCCGTGTGGGACTGATGCCGTGTGGGACTGACGGCGTGTGGGACTGAGGCCGTGTGGGACTGACGGCGTGTGGGACTGAGGCCATTTGGGACTGACGGCGTGTGGGACTGAGGCCGTGTGGGACTGAGGCCGTGTGGGACTGAGGCCGTGTGGGACTGAGGCCGTGTGGGACTGACGGCGTGTGGGACTGACGGCGTGTGGGACTGAGGCCGTGTGGGACTGACGCCGTGTGGGACTGAGGCCGTGTGGGACTGAGGCCGTGTGGGACTGAGGCCGTGTGGGACTGACGCCGTGTGGGACTGACGCCATTTGGGACTGACGGCGTGTGGGACTGACGGCGTGTGGGACTGACGGCGTGTGGGACTGACGGCGTGTGGGACTGAGGCCGTGTGGGACTGAGGCCGTGTGGGACTGACGGCGTGTGGGACTGAGGCCGTGTGGGACTGACGCCATTTGGGACTGACGGCGTGTGGGACTGAGGCCGTGTGGGACTGAGGCCGTGTGGGACTGAGGCCGTGTGGGACTGAGGCCGTGTGGGACTGAGGCCGTGTGGGACTGAGGCCGTGTGGGACTGAGGCCGTGTGGGACTGACGCCATTTGGGACTGACGGCGTGTGGGACTGACGGCGTGTGGGACTGACGGCGTGTGGGACTGACGCCGTGTGGGACTGACGCCGTGTGGGACTGAGGCCGTGTGGGACTGACGCCGTGTGGGACTGACGCCGTGTGGGACTGACGCCGTGTGGGACTGACGCCGTGTGGGACTGACGCCGTGTGGGACTGAGGCCGTGTGGGACTGAGGCCGTGTGGGACTGAGGCCGTGTGGGACTGAGGCCGTGTGGGACTGAGGCCGTGTGGGACTGAGGCCGTGTGGGACTGACGCCGTGTGGGACTGACGCCGTGTGGGACTGACGCCGTGTGGGACTGACGCCGTGTGGGACTGACGCCGTGTGGGACTGACGCCGTGTGGGACTGACGCCGTGTGGGACTGACGGCGTGTGGGACTGACGCCGTGTGGGACTGAGGCCGTGTGGGACTGAGGCCGTGTGGGACTGAGGCCGTGTGGGACTGACGCCGTGTGGGACTGAGGCCGTGTGGGACTGAGGCCGTGTGGGACTGAGGCCGTGTGGGACTGACGCCGTGTGGGACTGAGGCCGTGTGGGACTGAGGCCGTGTGGGACTGACGCCGTGTGGGACTGACGCCATTTGGGACTGACGGCGTGTGGGACTGACGGCGTGTGGGACTGACGGCGTGTGGGACTGACGGCGTGTGGGACTGAGGCCATTTGGGACTGACGGCGTGTGGGACTGAGGCCGTGTGGGACTGAGGCCGTGTGGGACTGACGGCGTGTGGGACTGAGGCCGTGTGGGACTGACGGCGTGTGGGACTGAGGCCATTTGGGACTGACGGCGTGTGGGACTGAGGCCGTGTGGGACTGAGGCCGTGTGGGACTGACGGCGTGTGGGACTGAGGCCGTGTGGGACTGACGGCGTGTGGGACTGAGGCCATTTGGGACTGACGGCGTGTGGGACTGAGGCCGTGTGGGACTGAGGCCGTGTGGGACTGAGGCCGTGTGGGACTGAGGCCGTGTGGGACTGAGGCCGTGTGGGACTGAGGCCGTGTGGGACTGAGGCCGTGTGGGACTGAGGCCGTGTGGGACTGACGCCGTGTGGGACTGAGGCCGTGTGGGACTGACGGCGTGTGGGACTGACGGCGTGTGGGACTGAGGCCGTGTGGGACTGACGCCGTGTGGGACTGAGGCCATTTGGGACTGACGGCGTGTGGGACTGAGGCCGTGTGGGACTGAGGCCGTGTGGGACTGACGCCGTGTGGGACTGACGCCGTGTGGGACTGAGGCCATTTGGGACTGACGGCGTGTGGGACTGTGGGCCGCGTGGGACTGTGGGCCGCGTGGGACTGACGGCGTGTGGGACTGAGGCCGCGTGGGACTGAGGCCGCGTGGGACTGAGGCCGCGTGGGACTGAGGCCGCGTGGGACTGAGGCCGTGTGGGACCGCCACTACTTTTTTCTTGTTTATTGAATCCTGCAGTAAACAGCTGTTGCTGCTGGTTACTCTGGCAACCAGCCTTATATCTTCTTGTATCTATTTTACTCATTTGATGGGATTCTGTGTGTGTGTGTGTGCATGTGTGTGTGTGTGCGTGTGTGTGTGTGGTTGTACGTGTGTGTGTATATTGTTCTGACTTTCTTATAAACATGAACCAGCATTGACCTGATCCTCAGAGTAAAGTGCGATCTTCATATAAAAAGTAAAATGCAGTTTGTTGAATAATCAATGGACAATTGATTTATTTTGACACATTTTAAGCTTAGCAGACAGTAGTATTTCAGAGTTCTAAAACAATACACAAAATGTTACTGGAGAAAATTTCCCATCCGTCTAAAGTCTTGTTTTGCAAATGCCATAAGATTATCAAAGTAATATAATATAAAATGAATGTGAATGTGTGTGTTGCTGTGTCTTTGTGTTGCTGTGAAATGTTAAACCTCATTCTGGGTGTGATTCTTGTTTAAATCCTGCTTGAATCAAAATGCAATTTCACCAAAAAAAAACTATAAACATCTGTTAGACACGGTCACAACTTTAACAATCTCTCCAAAACGGTCTGAATGTGTGAAGTTTTTGGGAACCACTGCTTCCAGAGAAGAACGGAGGACAGAGCAGCTTTGAACGCAGCAGTGAGTCGCTTTGACAGATGCAGAAACAACAGTCGCACAAGTTTGCATCATCACTTTGAGCCAGGAGACAAACAGCCGAACAAAACACCAGTGAACGACACCAGCGAGGAGCGTCTTTGTGTGAGCGTGCTGCCAATCCTCTGATCCTGCAAGAAATGAAAGCGGACCTCTGCCAAGACACAGCCTGCTACGACAAACACACACACACTACATTTTACTGAACCCTTTCAATTATTATTATTATTATTATTGTTTGTCTTTTTGCAATTTGTTCTCACATGTTGGAACCAGTGACTCTGAGGAGCACTGCTGGTGCCTAGAGTCAGGATTAAACATAGGGAGTTAGCATTTCAGATTAACGCGGCCTTCTTCTCTGACAATGTTCAAATCCAGGTTAAAAACACTTCTGTATAACTGCAAACATCTTCATTCTTCTGTAATTGTAACTGTATTTATTATTATTCTAATCCCTTGAATGATTTAATGCGTATTTCCTTGTTCGGTTAAGCACTTTGAATTGTGTATGAACTGTGCGATACAAATAAACTTAGATAAACATGCCTACCGTACCGTATAGATGCATTTCTTGTGGTTTGAAAGTTAGGTACCGCAGCTTTAACGTCCAAAACTATGTCCTGTTTCACAAAGGGCCACACAAACTGCACCAAGATGTGAGAGCAGCCAAACAGCCCCAAGACCAAAGAGAAAAGCACTGCGCTGCACTGCCCCCTAGTGACCACACAGGGTCAGGACGGGAACACAGAAAACATGACTTTAGGCAAATATTGTGAGCTTTACAAATCCAATCTAACATGCAGAATTATTAACAATATGGATATAAGAAAAACAAATATACAGAGTTATTATGGTATGTTGGTGAGGATAACAAGTTTTGGAATTTCAGCTTTACAGGAAAAGGAGTTTTGTCACAAACATTGAATTCACGGTAATGTGACCAGATTAATTATCTCCTTTAATAACACTGAAAGCATACAGAATAAATGGGTTTTATCACTTTTACAACACTGTTCTCTCATTCAATTCAATTCAATGTAATTTTCAGTCATTTTCTCTGAGAACTTTTCGATTTGCAAACATAGATCAGAGAATCAAACCGTTTAAATGCAGGAAAAGCAACATTAAAAAACACATATAGAGCCATTGGTCCATAATAAATTCATGACCAATGTCTATAAATATTCATAGATGTCCATAAATGTCCTGGATCATCACCACTGTCCTTAGACCCTCCTGCATCGGCAAAGAACAACTACACACACACAAAAACAGTGGGAAAAAGTGGGTAAAAATCACAAACAACATGGAATAAAAAGCCATAAACTGTGAAAACAATTTATGGCAGTCCTCTAAATTATGATTTTTCCAGTAAAATGACATTTTTTGAACCTTCTACAGTATGTGCCTTTAACTTGTAGATTATTTAGCCCAATATAGCATTAGGATTCAATACCAAAGTCAATATTCTGAAAATCATATTTAAGAGCCAAAAGGAACACATATTCGATCCATTGTTTAAGATAAATCGTAGGTTTAATCTCAAAATATTACCTGCTGGATATTTTTCGCCTCCACTTTTTGGCTTCTTGATACAATCTTATCACAAAATATTATGACAGCAATTTAAAAAACGTTATTATTGCGAGGGATTAAGAAAAGACAAGGGAGTTGGAACTTTTTTAATGATTCCTTTGTGCTTCTTTTGCGATCAGGAAATGTACTGTATATTTCTTGTTTATACTAATCTCTTTAGAAAGTGACTCCATTACAACTTTTGCATCAAGACATGAAGTCAGATTTTTTTTGCCCCCTCTGCACTCCCAGTCTAACACTATATTAAAAACTTCCTCCAAGCCCAAATATCCACAAATCCCCGGAACAGACGCCACCCCACCGCGCTTCTTCCCTACTCTGGATGGCTCCGACCTCGCTGGGGCTCACGTTTTTTTTTTTTAAATATATAAATCTTTGAAGGCAATCAGATTTTTACACTCTTCTCTCCTGCCCCATAGCCATATAATCCGTCTCCTACTGCTTGTCAGGCTGCATGCATGTGTGTGCCCAAAAAACATCACTGTTAGATGAAGCGTGGCCCACCGAGACCAAAGAGGACAAGACAGGATAATCGAAAAGGAGGTGAGAAGGAGATTAAAAACACCAGGACTGTAGGGGAGGGTGTGTGTGTGAGTGACAGGGAGAAATGGCCCAAATATCTAGAGCAGTAAGACGTTTTAAAAGGGGAATAACTGGATGACTGATGGATGTTTGAGGTGTTTGTTGTAGATGAAGGAGGGTGTGAGGACGGGGGTTATGATTCAGGACGTTTAAGGACTTTTTATGGACTTTTATTAACATTTAGGGACATTGGTCATCCGCCGCTTATGGACCAATGGCTCTATGGTTTTGTTATCACTACATTGTCTGTGTTTGATTCTCTGATCTGTGTGAGCGAATCGACAACGTTGTAAAGTCCTCCGAGATGACCAGTGTTGTGATTTAGGGCGACGCAAATATGAAATGAATTGAATTGATTTGAAAGATTTCTGTCACAATCTGGTTCGCAAGGTGATTATTGTTGAACCCTTATAAAATTGGTTGTTGTGAGCAGCTTTAGGGACTGATCGATGAATTAGTTTGGCGATTCATTTGTTTACTTAAAGGTATGTTGGAGGATTTTTCCAAATTTTAGGAAAGAACCACCCTCTCCACTTTTTGAACAAACCTCTGATTATATTTGAAGAGAATGTATCACCAGACCAATAAACAACATGTGGTCCTCGGAGGCTTCCGTAGTGTTGATGTAGAAGGAGACTTGCCATATATGAACTCAACACTAGATGGGAGTAAAAAATTACACAGTGTACCTTTAAAATCATGACTAATCAAAGTACATAAACAAATCATTCAGTTGTAAAATGTCCACAGGGAAGGAAGACTGTTCCAGATGTTTGCTTCATGAATCTGAAATGCTGCCTCCTAAGTTTAGTCCTGACTCTGGGCACCAGCAGCAGGCCAGTCCCTGTGCTCCTCAAAGTCCAAGTTGGTTCGTATGGGACGAACATGTCACAGATGTACTTTGGTGCAAGGCCTTGGATAGAGTTCTACACAAGCAGAGCTGTTTTAAAGTCTATTCTCTGAGCCACAGGAAGCCAGTGCAGGGACCTGAGGACTGGACTAATATGGTCGTACTTCCTGGTTCTAGTCAGGACTCAAGCTGCTGCATTTTGAATGTACTGCAGCTGTTTTACAGCCTGTTTGGACAGACCTGTGAGCAGGCTACTACTGTTCTGATACAGCATGTATGTATTTAAATGTATTTACCCAAAACAAGAGTGGTGACTGAGTGAGAGGGGTGGTCCAGACTCCGAAAAAGTGAATGGACACTTTGATATTTTCAAACATTGTCAAATTTCAGTTTCTGCTTCTACCACTAGATGGAAGTGTTTAGCACTTTCAATAGTAAGTTAGTAAGTAAGTAAGTTTTTATTTATATACCGCCTTTTCACTGCAGATCTGAGTCTCAAAGCGGTTTACAATTGTTAATTATGGGCATTTGTCTCTCACTCCACACAGAGATGGGAGGGGCCAGTACAGGAGGCACATGCCAGAACTATTGGACATATTTTTAGTGGTAGGGGAAACCGGAGTACCCGGAGGAAACCTACGCAGACACGGGGAGAACATGCAAACTCCACTCAGAAAGGCCCTGGTCCGACCGGGATTCGAACCCAGGACCTTCTTGCTGAGAGGCGAGAGTGCTATCCACTCAGCCACCGTGCCGCACTGATAATCCATTGTGTTTAGAGCTGGGAACTGAGCAGATATCAGTCAAGTCTCAGTTTAAGACTGAAAGTTCATGTTTGTGTTTTATCTTTACAGGGTGGCAAATGTTAACCAACCTTTCTAAATGACTGGAGATGGGCTAACCACAGTTACTCCGTTAATGTACAGATAGATGCATGAGTAAAAACATATATTCATTATACATTGTATACTTTTTTTTCAAAGAGAACTAAAATCCAAACAGATTTATACGCAGTCAAGTAAAAGAAAAATCAATGTCATGTGCAAGTAACATGGAGCAAACAGCAGGGGGCAGAAGAGCTCTGCGTGTGGAAAGGCAGATGTTGAAAAATCTATTGTTCTGCTCATTATATGTGTATGTGTCTAATATTTAATTACAATAATAAACTATTTGATTCTGTTGTAGAAAAACAAACTGGTCTCATATAAAATGTGATTAAATAGATTCCTTTTATATAAAATAGCAGACCAGCTCCCACGTGTTTTAAATATGGAGAAGTTGCAAATATGTAATGTTTCTATATTTAGATTTAAGATTTCTCCACATGACAAGTTGAGCGACAGGCCACATCTGCGGAGAGGCAATCTCTCTCTCACTCATTATCAGGGCTCATAGAACCGTTTTAGTGGCTGCAGTGAATGTGAAAGGAAGCAATTATTCAGATGACATGTCCTCCTCAAACATCAGTTCATACAGTTGCATGTAACAACAATGACTCTGAATTCAGTGTTTCTATTCACGTCAGAGCATTTCGATTCATATTCTGCTGATGAAAGACCAAAGTTCTTTATGATAAGATCGTTAAATAATGACTACACTAACATTGTGTCATGTTTTAGTTCCCTCTGGTCTAGGAATTTTAGCATCGCAAAGAAAATAGTCATCTGAAAAAAGTGAATACCATACTGAAGAACAGCCAGGACCAACGTGACAGTCTGCCTTTCCAACACAAAGTACCCATTGGGATCATAAATATGAGTGCAGTGTCAACCAGCCAACTTCAGCTCCTCCAATATAGAAATGCTGTGCCTTGTTGTAAAGCTCCGGATCTCTGGAATCCGTTTGATTGTCTTACTACAAAGTTTGGACATCCTTGCTTTAGAACAGACCAGGCAAATCTTTAACGACTGCCCTGCCGACCCGACTGGGACCGCTTCAGTCCTGCACCTGTCTGCATTAATTAAGATTTTGACTGTAGTGTGTTCATTGCTATTCACCCATTGTCCCATTGTCTGTTTCATGGCGCAACAACGGGACCTCTGAACCTGGCCTCCTTCACCTTCATCTGCGGACTGCCCTGCCCGACCCGCCTGGGAGCGCTTCAGTCCTGCACCGGACCTGTCCACGCTCTGCGGCCGCTGCGTGGCGTTGGTTCATGTTCTGTAGCTTGGGTCCTGGATCTACAGCCCGTCCGTCCGTGTCGGAGCGGATCCCTTTCTCAATGTGGGTCCCCGAGGTTTCTCACTTTTTTTCCCACTGGGTTTTTCTTATGAATTTTTCCTCTGATGCAGGAGGGTCTGTTGGGCAGTTAGTGTCCAACTAGAAGGAAGTGGTGATGATCCAGGACACTTTAACATTCTACAACATGTATGACATTTATCAACATTCATGGACATTGCTCTTTCCCTATGGACCAACTCATATGTGTATATTTTGTGTCTTAACTGTTGATTCTCTGATCTGTGTTGGGTATTTCAATGGTTTTGTTAAGTCTCTGAGATGACTTCTGTCGTGATTTAGGGCTATACAAGAATAAGTTGTACGTCTCTATTGACAGATTGCACCTCTAACCACTCCGAGACTATCCCAGCAGAAGTAGCCTACCTTTTTCTTTCATGAATACATTAATAGTCCCAACAGAAAAGAAGTTTGTGAGCAAATGAGACCACAATATGAATTAGAAAACCTCATATTATATATACTTAAAGTTGATTTAAAGATGTGACAGAAGCCAAAAAACATGGTTAAAACTTGTTAGATTTGATTACATGCATCTATATTCAGAAATATTTCATACATTATCTCTTGTAGTTTCATCAGACACACCGATGTCATACTCCAGTAACACACCACACAGACTGATAATGGTTAAGCAAGATCTGTTTATTCAACAATAAAAATAAAATAAAATCTTAGAAAAAAATACCTTAAATGAGAGAACTTTACAAATCCTGCCTTTTCGACTTTATCTTGTCCGGACATAGAAAAGTACAAAAGGCACTGCGTATAAATCCTGCAGCTGGTACCGAAAAGGAGGAGCAACAGTTGGACATCACATTATTCTCCGCCGCCGTCTCCGAGCGCGTTTGTGAGCAGTGCAGGATCCAGAACCATTCAGTAGATTCGTTTTGCTCAAAATCAAACCGACCGGTAAAAACGAGTCGAAAGGAAAGGAGTGCATTTTTCTTACAACACAAAAAAACAGTAGTAAATGTTTTTGCTTTTAGTTGTTAACATTGTGGCAAGATTATTAGTGTGATTATTATTGTTAATGATAAGACTTTCTTAAAACGGCAGAAACAATATTTACAATTAAAATGACTTGAGTTTAAGAATTTGGTCGTGATTTTAGTCATTTTCTTTGTTTCATTCACTCGATAAACCTGGATTATTGCACTTGTTTTGTTGTTTCTGGAAATATTACACCCTCACCTCAACTTTACCCTTCATCCTAGAGCTAAAAAGTATGTAAGGAGCCAGAAGTCAAATGTAAGAACTTTCTAAAAACTAAATTAAAAGACCTCATTGAAACTTGTATAAAGGTACATGTATCAGAGTAATATGCTATGATAATGTTTTATAATGTTTTTATAATTAAAATAATTAGCTTGATTAACAAAACAAGTCTGATTAGAACACATATTTTGGACAAAAACACTAATAATAAACACACCAATACAAAGACTTTTAAGTACTGTTAAGACTTTGTAGATACGCTACTTTTTTGTAACTTCAGTACTTTCTGGACAATACGCCACTACTTTTTTCCAGATTTTTTGAACTCTGGGCCTATAGAAGTAAGAGAATGTATTTTTATTTTGGCGTGGAGGAAGAATTGAGGAAGAGCTGACGACTTTGCACACGTTCCTGCTTCCTGGTGTGTTTATGTGAACAGCAGAGTTGGCATGAGGGCCGTTATCAGAACAGAGTTTATAGATTTATCATTTTGACTCATTTTGACAATTAAAAAAATACTGCGTAATATTCGTTCAATTCAAAACAGTACATTTTGTGATATGGTTTTATTCTTCTGATGTATCCTGTTTATAGATCCTAGTTGTATTTAGTATCAGTCAAATTGGTGTCTAGTTTCGAGATGAGTTTTGGCATCAATTAATGTCTGATTTTTGATACTTATGACAACCTGAGTCCCAAGTTAACCAGGATTTGGCCCAGTTAAAGTGAACCAGACCGGTATGTACGAGCGCGGCCAACAAATACCTAAAGAGCTTAAATTCAAGTCATTTTAAGGCGTCTCGATCTCTGCAGTGCATATTTTCTCATTTCCTCTGTGCCTTGAGCGTCAATAGTAGAACTGCATATGTCGAGTACATTCTAAAACCCTTTCGGAATGAAAAAAACCCGGGCTTGTCTAAAGTACGGTTATGCAATCGCTTGAATTTCAGCGGCCTTTGTGTGTTACATTCTTTGCCATTCTCGAAACTAAACCTCAGGCATCTGGAAACGTCGTCAGCGAAAATAAAGCATGCGTGTTTGTTTCTGTACCGCCGCCGATTCAAAAAAATGTGCAAACTCATGATTCATTCCTCGTCGTTAGTAGCTCTGCGTTCGACTTGGGTTTCACGCGCGACAATCTCTTTGGCATCCGCGTTCCTTGTGTGTCCGTCAGACCCAGACGCACGTTAATAACACGACAAATACGATGGCGTCTGTTTGAGGGTGGAACCGTTTCTTTTTTGGCATCCGCTGGGAACAGAAGAGAAGGCGCCCCCCGCTTTGATCATAGGAAGCCGTGTTCGTCCAGGCCTCTGGGAGTCACCGGGTTCCACTTTAAAATGGTTTTCGAGGAATAGCCTGGAAAATAAGGCCATGAACAGTTAGGAGTGAGTATGAGAAGGTTGTGTAATCTTAAACTTATACACAAAAGCCCATTTGGACCGATCGAGCTTCTCCATGTCTGATACTAATTGCAAATAACAATAACTAATTAAAAACACATTATTAAACAACATTCTGAGTGGATTTCAGCTGGATTTATGTCAATTGAAAAGCCCAATCAAGACTTCGGGTTAACAGAAAGTACAAACCCAATACTCAATCTATCCATCCATCCATTTTTCTACCCTTTAATCCATTTCTGGGTCAGGGGGGTGATGCAACCCAAGTCTCATAGCACCAGCCCCTCACTGACCCTCTGCAGGTGGTGAGTCCACAGGAGGACGGCTGCTCTCTGAGTGTGAGCATAGCCTTGATATTTCAGTGGGGGCTTTGGGCAAAGTGGGGTTAAGTGTCTTGCCCAAGGACACAACGACAGCAGTCATCAGTGGGGAAGGTGCAGAGGTGGGAAATGAACCCACGACCTTCTGGGCTTAAGGCCAATGCTCTACCAACTGAGCTACTGTCGCCCCCAATTCAATCTAATATATCAAAATAAGAGTATCGGTGCATTCCCAAAATGCATACTTTGGATGAACAAAAACTGAATTATTTGAGAATATTCAGCATTGTAGGTAAGCAATCACAGTTTTATGAATGATTTTTGTATAACTATTGCTGTGTGCTTTGTTGTCTTGTTGAAGTTAGTGAGTAATATTTATTTATATACCGCCTTTCACAGACCAGAGTCACAAAGTGGTTTACAATTGTGTTCCCTGAATTTATCCAATGTCTCCACAGAAAGAGTCTTGTAAAACCAAAATGCTATGAACAAATCAAACTATCTTTTTCCATATTTGTATGAAAGAGCCCTTCGAGTCACTATTTGACACTTTGGTCTGAGAGCTGAATGAGGGTGGTCTTCTCCGTGTCCCTTTTCTGTGTGGAAAAGCTAATCTGAAGAAGTGACATGTAGAACATATTTGTGAAAACTAGGAATAGAATCAAACTGTTTTTGGGGAAGTTATAATTTTATTTATTTATTTGTGGTTTAACGTTTTTAAGGCATTCATCAAACAAAACTGTTGATTTATTCTGGCGATCCATATGAAAAAGTGCAAACAGACCTCCTTCAGATGATGTCATGTATCAATATTCAACCGTAAACTATGGTAAAGGGTGAAAAAAGTGACCAATTACCTGATTCTGCTCTGTTCCTCGACTCTGGCGCCGCCACGCCCCTCACTTCCAGGTCGCTCTCCCCTGACGACGTGTGCTCCTCCGCCTTCGCGTACGACTTCTTGTGATATTTGGCGCGGTAAGTGTCCGTCATACAACTGTCCACAGAGAAGTAGGTGGTCGGCAGCGTCACGTCGCCGAGTGTGGGCGAGTCTGTGCCGTTGGGGCCGCCCGTGGTCGGACTCTCGCTCTCGCTCGTCGACAGATCGGTCCGGTCCTGATCCGAGGATTTGGAGCTGGCGTCTGACGAGAGGCGGTGCTCTGCGGGCGTCTCGATCCAGCGGCGTAGGCTGGTGTGGCTGAAGCCGTTTCTTGGGGGATCCGATGGGGGGTGCGCGGAGATGCCGGAGAGATCTGACCGCACGGAGCTTGCTGGTTTTGGCGCCAGCGGCGGCCGGTAGTTTGGTGTGAACGAGTTCAGGGCCGTAATGCGCTCCTCTTGTTCTGAATAGGGCCCCGTGAGGTCGTCGGAGCTGTTCCACTCGGAGCTGCTGGTTTTGGCCAGACGCGGCGGCACTGGGCTCTCGGGGCTGCCGTCCACGTTGTCCTCGTGCGAGCAACCGTTCACCTTCTCCAAAACGCCGGGAGTGTATCTGAAAGCTTGGCGTCTGAGAGAGAAGAACAGAGGGAGACAACGCAGTCAGCTTTCACCTTGCTTGGAAACGGATCGACTAAATGTAATGCATCTTTCTGTTTTCATTCACTTCTTAGTAAGGCTGTAATTAACAATGATGTTGTTTGATTAGAAATACATTTCCATATTAGACGGGAGTAATTTTGTTGGAGTCATAAAACGTCTTATTGAACTTGTTTTAGTCCAAATAACTTTCAAAAACAGATGTATTTCCTTAAAATGAGTTGGTAATCCATTTTGTTTATCCGTTACAGTTCTACCCATAAAAAGGGAAAACAGACTGTATTTCTAACCTGATAGACAACACAATATAAAACATATTCAACTCAACCATTGACCCTTTACTTCACTTCTAGTAAACCTTAATTATAGGCATGACGCATCACTACCGTCACTTTTCTGCTTATTGCCACTAAGAGAAACGACTTCACAAAATCATGAACAAAAACATGAACACGTTCCTGGCCTTTTGCTCACTGTACTTATCTAGAATGGACTCTTGAAAAGTAACTTTGTTTTGTCAGTGTGAAGGCCATTCTCTTGTTACGCAGGATTCAAAATGATTCAAACTTTAATGAAAAGTCTTCACATTGCAAGAAGCCGAAGCTCATGAATAAACAATGTTAGGACTTCTTTTATATTCAAAGGACATTTTTTTGTATGGAATCCTCTCTGGCAACAGCCCTTAGTTCCGCTGCTCCACCACGAAACCAACAATAACACACAATGACAGCTATGGAAAAGGAACTATGCCATCATTATTTCTCCCTCTACAGATATTTCACACACTACTTTTTTTCACTGGTGCCCTTACCTCTGCATGCGCTCTCTGGGTAAGTGTATTTCTTCGAGCAAATGTGGGGATTTTCTTGCATCTTCACCTGAAAAGTCAGAACACAGACGGTTACAAAAGCGGTAACGGAAACAGCTGCAGGTCTGTGTGCCTCAGACTGGTTATCTAACAGAGGTCGTGGCCTGGCGTGGGCAGAGAACCGCCTCAGGCCTCCAGTGCACCAGTCCCAAGCTGATCCAGCCGCAGAAAAGCCCCATGATAGAAGTGTGGGTGTGCGAGTGTGTGTTTGTGTGTGTGTGTGTGTGCGTATGTGGGGGTATGTTAACCGGAGCTAATGAAACAATAATGACCCTCACTGAACTTGGGTAGAGTTGGAGCCGCTGAATTAACATTGAGAAGATAAACTACTACTACTATATTGCAAATTAACTGGCAAAACATGTGCAGGGTATTTCAATCCGGAAATAATGGCTGTAATTAAAATTAGAGGGAAAATATCTTTTGGCACAAATCAGCACAAACACAATGCTTAAAGGCCTAAATGACAAGAAATAATGCATAGAAAGTGGGGGTGGTCATAATCTTATTGCTTCAGCCCACTCCTTTTGTGCAGTAAAAATACAGTTCAAATAATTAAAAAAATCAAAAAGTAAAGCTTGGTTAAGAGACTACGACTCAACAGCCTGTTTGTCTATCGGGGTCCATCCCGCTCTCACTGTGAGAATCCCCAAGGTTTATCTGCTTTTCTCCCACTGGGTTTTTGAGCTTTCCCTGCCGATGCCGGAGGGTCCGAGGACATTGGTTGCCCTGTTCTCCTACAGACCAATGACTCTTAGATGTTTGTATTTTGGGTCTTGTTTTCTAAAGAAAAACGAGTCAACTGCTAAAGTGATTTTTTGTTACAAAAAGCACAATTGATTTGATTTGGCTTACTAACAAACACAGAAGACGGGGCTCTTTTCAACAATGTTCAAATCAAGCAGGTGCGTTCACACATGGTCCAGTGAAAGTGGGCTCTGGTGCAGAGCTAAAAAAGTGTAATTTGTGGAGACATGAAAACACCAAATAAGTGTTCCCTGGAGTGCGCCTCCAGTCTCTTCAACTATTTCACTTTATTTTCAGAGACAGAAGTCAGAGACATAAACTTCAAAATTCCTACAGCTAAATTAAGCATCTTTGTGGCCAACTTGGAAAATACATTTATGGCTATGGCATAAACAGAAAAAACTAACATTGTGGAGATAAATATTCTTAAAAAGGTTACATTTGTTATTGGTCAACACGTTTTTCATTTGGAGCAACTGTAAAAATTAGACAGTTCCTTTAAGCAACATGCATCAGACCAAAACATCTTTCCACTTTTGTTTGTTTACATGTTTTTTTTTTGTTTAGTTTAGTTTAGTTTAGTTTAGTTTATTCGGTCAGGCATCGAAAACAAAGTTGTACAAGGATAGTTTCCACAGGAACACAAAATTCAAAATAAAATAAAATAATGTACCGTACAAACTGATACTTTACTTTACTTTACACTGACCGAAAAGGCGTTGGCTGAAGCATAAGCTTATAATGCCTGCCTTTACAACACAGCATGTGCCTTTGTGTTTTTCCTCATTGGAAATACAAAAAGAAAGAAAAAAAAGAAAAAGAAAAAAAACATCAGGCCGTTTATCCATTAAGGAGATACAGAACCAGAAAATTATTGGACAAATTTCAAGTATCTGACAAGAGTCTTATTTTTATATAATCTTTTAAAATGAAAGAGAGAGGTGCACTGTTTAAGTTCCTCTGTACAGTTATTCCAGAGGTCGACCCCTTTAATAGAAATGCAGGAACCCATTGTATCTGTTCTAAAATATTTTTTATTGAAAACTTCTCCTCCTCGGAGCTCATAATGGCTTTGTCTTATGTCAAAAATATTTAGCAGCGTTTGGGACAAAAGTTTGTTTTTAACTCTAAACATGATTTTTAGAGTATATAACTCTACAAGGTCATAAAATTTCAATGTTTTAAGATTTGTAAATAAAGGATGAGTTGACTGGTTGTAATTCGAGAATGTGATGAGCCTTATTGCCTTTTTTTGCATGACCAGAGCTGTACAAGGTGGTCCGCAAATAGGACACAATTCAACTTTACCGACACATTGCACAAATCATTAATGTAGATAATGAACAATTTAATGTCTCCACACACAAGCGGTGCAGGCACAATTGTTTACATTTTAGAACTATCCTGTCAAGTGACCAAGACGTTTGGAGAGATCCGGTCATTTATCAAACTGAAGGAGTCTCTCCATGGCGGTCAGGTTGGAATGACCAGGACCACTGTCAAAGACTACATATTGTCTTTCGAAGGCTTCCGTAGTGCTGTCGGTAGAAGTAGACTGCAAAATATGATCAACTCTAGATGGGAGTAAAAACTACACAGAAACCTTTAAACAAAACTCTTTCTGTTGAAACTAAAAAAGTTGGATACTCCTACTTCGTACTTAACTAGTAAACTGAGTAAGTAAAGTAAAGAGACAGAAGAGAGCTAAAATGGACCAAATGAAGTGCTCTCTCCTGGTCCTCAGCTGGTGCCTGCAGATCAAAGTGTCTGAAGTCCATATGTGATGTGTCAGCAGCTCTCAAAGCATTAGTGGCTAAATCCTTTGTGCTGGCATGCAATTACAACCGGGCCAGACTGTAGCGTTCAGATGCCCCCCTCTAACACCAAAACTACTGCCATTTTAAGCTGCTGAGGCCGCGCCGCATTTCACAATTTGATGCCTCTGATCTCAACCAGTCACTGTGAAATAATTACTGCAAAACAACTAAAGAGGGCAGACCGAGTTCAAGAAAACACTTTGTTTTAAACCGGCAACAAGTTCCTCAGGACGTCTTGTACTTCACGGCTATAATAAAATGAAATAGTCTTCTTGGATCATCCATTTGAACAGTTCTTGTGCAATATGTTAGTTCTGCTGTAAAGTTTTAATGTTCACCACGGTTTCCTCATGGTTAGCTTTTTATAACTTTAACAGGACGTATCACGCCCAATCAACTTTTAAAAGCTTTTGAAAATGATGCAGCAATTTTCTCTTGTTGTTTATGTGGTGCATGTGAATTCTCGCACCCAGGACGTGATCGCTCTCTCCTGGATCCTCCAACCGCCACTTCCAGTTATTACTTTATCTTCAACACAGGATTTTTGACAGTGGATTTTTCCAACTTTGTGCGTTTCGTAAAAAGGTCAGATACGAAACGATTTGGAATGACTGAATATGGAAGTTTAATACGGAACGATACAAGTAGTGTATACCAGTAGCTCAGTTGGTAGAGCATTGGCTTTCAGGCCTGAAGGTCGTGGGTTCAATTCCCACCTCTGCACCTTCTCCACCGACTCCCACTGATGACTGCTGTCGTTGTGTCCTTGGGCAAGACACTTAATCCCACTTTGCCCAAAAGCCCCCACTGAAAGATCAAGGCTATGCTCACACTCAGAGAGCAGCCGTCCTCCTGTGGACTCACCACCTGCAGAGGGTCAGTGAGGGGCTGGTGCTATGAGACTTGGGTGGCATCTCTGACTGCCACCCCCCTGACCCAGAAATGGATTAAAGGGTAGAAAATGGATGGATGGATGGACGATACAAGTATGAGGATTAGATAGCTATATGGTCTATGACCTACGCAGGTGGACAAACGCAAGACTCTACAAGGACTCTGATAGTGTATCCATGTTATGACTATGATATGCTCTGACTGTCTCTGAATGTGACACGTATGTCTTTCGATGTGTGACGTAACAATGACTATATAAAATCATGTCCTGACTCTGCTCTGTCTGAGAAAGCTGAAAAAACCTGAAAAGGAGCCTGAGAATAAACTTCCAGAGCTTTGGTGCGCCATGATCCCGTCTCTGTGAGATTGATTTCCGACACAATCTATAGTTTATTTTATAACATTGTTCAACATCAATACAGAGATTATATTTTTCTGACAACTATTAAGATATAGTGTCAAATTTAGTTTTGAATTCAAGCACGTAATGAGAAAGCGTACACTAAGCACAACATGAAACAGACGTCTTAAGAAAACACCGATAGTCAAAGGAAAATCAGATGCTTGATGAAAGAGTGGGATTAAGTTTAACACTTTAACTTTACCCACTTTCTGACTAAACACAAGCTTGAGTATCGTCTATATATTTACTATATGTTCCAATACAATGTAATAGAATAATAAAACACTTTCCTTCATTTTTTTATAAAACGTAAAAAAGTTCTGTACAACTTTTTCCTGAATTGTTTTCGGACGTTGCTTGCTCCTTATTTAACCCGTTCCAGTTTTGGTCCTTTTCTTCCTAACAGCGTGTCATTGGTAATATAATCTAGAGTAATATATGGAATTCTGAAAAGCCTGTAAATTCACCAGATCTTTAAATTGCAATAATTGGGATACTAAGAAAAATATGTTCTCTCTAACCTACTTCGTGGATGTTCTTAAAGCTCTCTTCTGTGAAATGAGGAGTGGCTGAACTGTGGTTGTGTAATTGCGTCGCCACACTTCTGCACAATAAGTAAAACATAATATAAAAATTGCGTGGGCATGAAGTTGTTTTAAATATCAATAAAGCATTTCCGAAGGAGAGCAGGGGAACACCGAAGTTTTACCACCTTTAAAATGAAGTCGTCTCACGTCACAGCCCATTACACGGCCGTACAGGTGGCAATAGGTTTGTGATTTAGTGAGGACAAAGTAAATGTAGTCCAGGCTGCTTGGGATTCCAAACGGAGGGCGAGAGCCGTGACCCATTTCCGAAATAGACAAAAGTTTTCCAACAATGTCACCTGTTTGATAGTCTGCTCATATTTTCAGAGTGGCTTTTGGTGTAACCTGTTCGGGCTTCTCACAAACTGCAGCTCTGGTCTTGAATCGGGGCCAAAGTGACTGGCACATTTACAACAGCCGCTCGATGCAATGTGCGGGCGCCAGGGCATAAATATTACAGCGGGAAATACAGCCGGTATCAGCTGAATACAAGATGGTGGCATGGAGAAGACTTTAGACCAGTGTTTTTCTCCGTTTGCAAATACCTATAGTTTCAAAGGGCTTCGCTGGGCAGTTCAAAAGTCTTTCCTTGTGACTGTCAAAAGTTATTCTTCGAGTTAATTTCCAAGTTGCAGATCTTATTTGTCATGACATAACTTCAAAATAAGATAGAGAATGATGACAATATTCAGATAACGCATGCATGATGTTGCCCAATAGAATAGGATTTTCTGACATATGAATATTGTGGCGAGTTCAATTCACTATCAAATACTCTGGGAAAACCTTTGGAGCTTTATTTTGGTGGTTGAAGCCTGCCCTCCAGCTGAAATACAATTCTCCAACAACAGTACAGTATTATTCATAGTTTATATTCTTGAAATAAACAAGCGTGACTGACACATGTGCAGTTTCCATGAGTTAAAGTACTGCTTCCATCTTCTTACCCTGCTCTTGCTGTGGTGTAAAGTAAACTGCTTATGTGAGTGAATAATGGAATAATAAGCAAACGTCTATACGCCCATAACTCCATAGTCCCTTAAAGTTCCATACGGCCGTTTTTCCAGGATAAACTTTAGTCTGGGAAAAGGTCAAGGCGAGTCAGTGAGGGAACCCGGTTTGCTTATTTCCATACAGAGCACCTCCACATTCTCTGTTCGACCTTAACACTTGCAGAGAGCACAATAAATCACATACAATCCTCACTAGTATTTTAATGAGGGTCTTTCTACAGGGATGTAAGGAAATGACTTCATGTCGAGGGCATAGACCGCATAGGGATGGACAGTGCCCTTACCCATTAGCTTGATGAAGTTTAAGAAGGAGGTGGATGAAAAGTGAACGCCTCTTCTTCCATTTGTGTCACACTTGTAAATGCAGATATGACCTCTGATAACGGACTAGTCGGGTGCCTTCTGTGCCCAGATTCAGATTCAGCTTTGTAGTGTGAGGGAGAACAGAGCAGCCTCACTTGAGATTAGCTCATTGTTTGCTATAGTTTCTTGTTTGGTTTCTATGAGAGAATTTGGCTCTGATGTCCCACCCATGGAGCCTGTATGAGCTCGAATTGGCTTCTTCCAGGAGAAAACTCTGGATAAATCAGTTGGTCCACTCCTTTCTACGGTCTATGGCTGACGGAAAGCAACTTACCAGTCTGAGTTCTTTTAAATTGACCAAATATTCTGGGTTTTTTACCAGAAAACTCCAGGTGTGCAGGTCTTTCAAGTGACGGCAGGTGAAGCAGGTCAGCATTTCCCTAAAAACTGAGTGACCCGTGCTGGCGTGTCAGAACGACTCGCCTTTTGATTATTTTTTTGTCTCTGTGCCAACAAGGGAGGGAGCACTTTGGCGAGGATCAAAACCAACGTTATAGCTCTGCATGGATTATAAGCTTTTAGTCCATTTTAATGCAATTCCCTCTGGACCTGAATACACTGCGCAGAGACTTTAGAAGACCGACTTTGCAAGTGTGTTTTGACTCCTTATTTTGACACAATCCGGTCTTTTCTGTGGTGAAAAGCGGAGGCGGGCTCAAAAAACTCACTGTCCCAGGTCAACACAGAATAAAAAAAAATCAAAACTGGTATGATGGCTTTAGTATTTTGTGGAGTTTCATTCATATGTATTCAATATGATGCGTAGTACTTTTCAAAACATGCTTTTACATTGCCAATAGTATCGTCCCGTGTTGTGCTTACCGTGCAGAATTGTAGACGTGTCTTCAGCTCTCCTCTGAAGAAAGTTATCTCTGTAAAAAGAAACAATACTTTACCACAAACCAGAAAATTACTCCCATTTCTGTGGCGTACATGGTTTTCAATAATGATCAAAAAGGACGTTTTCTTTTACAGCACATTCTGTGAGGCTGAATTATGCATTTGAGTGTCCTGACTCTAAGTACACAGAGTACCCAGTCGTCAGCTAGTTAGGATCATTATCTCCAAACAAGACCTCCAGACGACAAAACCAAACACCCACAGAGCAGCATAATAAGGCTTCTGCTTCGTGAGCATCTATGTTAAGTGGATGAAGCTATTCCTGGTGCAGTTTGTTTATAATCCTCCGTTACGTATAAATAGCAGCACACTTTTCAGACTGAAATGTTCAAAATGTGATGCAGCAGAACGGGGCAGCATCACACAGCAAAAGCGAGGGTTCAGGAAGTTCACCAACGGCGCCATTAATTAATTCAATCCATCCATTCGGTTGTGTGATGTTGCACAGGGCTGTCAACCTCAACGGTAAATAAGCTACAAGGCTGTTTAAGCCAGAGCATTGTTCAATTGTTGCAGAGTAAGAATTTTTATCACAAATAAATCTGCTTATAATCCTGCAAAACAAGAGGGAATATTGTTCTCTCTGCATGAAGATGAAGAGAACAAGAGGTCTGTATGAGTGGGTTGGACAGAAAAAAATTCAGTCGATAACAATATTACATGCAAGTTATTTTAGGATAAACAAAATGCATTTATGTCAGGCTACTTTCTGCCACCAACTCTGTCGCCAAATCAGAGCCTAACTGAAGTTCACTCAAATCTATCATTATGCTCTGATGAGGGTAGTGTCAGGTTTTTCCAAGTCAAATTTAAAGCATTTTAAGACTTGAGTGACTGAGAATCAATTACTGTGAAGTGTGAACTCTCTGAACCTAAAAAGAACCAATATGTGTGATGGAATTATGCAAACGCAAACTTGTCAGCTTTTTCCACAGTTCCACAGTATGCCTCTAAACTTCTGTCCAAAATAATGAATATGGATGTAGGTGAAAGCAAATTAAGTATGTGTATAGCGTTTTAGAAGTTCAGGAAAACCATGTAGACGAAGAGTTACCCAAGTTACATAAAGCATTTGGATTTGTTTGGATTTACATGGATTTACATGGATTTACCTGGAGAGGTGCAGCTCCGGTATCGGTCGCAGGTCCTTGAGGGAATGATTCTCCATCACCGGCGGCGAGTCCAGGTTGGCCGACCCGTTGCTCAGCCGGTCACTGCTCTCGTAGCCAGACTCTGTACGCTGCATTTTCCAGTTTTCATTCCGTACTTTAAGCGTCGCAGAACTCCTCGATTTATCGCTGTGCGCGCCTCTGCTGTCCGAGTCCAGCGAGCTCCGGCTGCCTCCCGTCTCCTGTTTCATTTCGTCTTCGTATATCGTCATGAGGGACTTGGGTTTGCGCTCGTCTTTGCCGTCTCGCCCTTGCCAGATATAATCCCTGTCTCTTTCCCGATCGCGTGTTGGAGATTGACTACTTGGTCGCCTTCTGGGACTATGCTGCAGTCTTTCCTGGCTCCCGTTGTTGCTGGTCAAAACACTGTCCACATTGAGAGCCTCGCGCATGGGCTTCCAGGGTCGGCCGAACCTGCTGCGGCTGCCCGGGCGCTCTCTTGAGTCCTGGCTGGAATCTGTGTCGTAGCCGTTGGACAGATGGTCAACCCTTGGCTGGTGATTGCCGTTGCCGTTGGTGCTTGTAGGTAAGACTTGAACCCGTGATTGTGTGTGTTGGGGTTCACGAGGGGCGCGTCCCAGTTGGGCGGAGCGCTCGGCCCGGATGGGACCTTTGCCTTGACTCGCGTAGAGCCTCGTCTCCATGTGCACCTTGAAGCTGTTTTCAGGAGGCGAGGCCGAGCGTGAGTAGGTCCGGTCATAACCAGGATCTGGGAACAACAAGAATTCTTTCAGAGTTGGTCTCCAGAAACAAACAAGTGATGGGACTAAAACAAAGCCTTTTTAGCCCTTTAGAAGCTGATTTGCTACATAAGCTCCTCAATAAGGAATATTTTTATACAGTGGCCGAGCTTCCCGTGATGACATTTATTTTGTAGTAGCCCCTTATCTCATATAATGTTCAAGGGCTCCACCTTTTGTCCATTTCACAAACAATTTCTAAAAATAAAAACCTTAGCACTTAGAGATCTGGCCAGGAGAGCCAGTTGAAAACTTCTATGAATTGTGTGATCCCAGTCTTGATCCAATATTGCCGAGTTATATCCAAAATTGCAGCTGGGTGGTGTGCTCACTGAATCGAAAAAACACCCCCTTATAACTTATTCTACATTGCATAATCTTAAAGGCATCACATTGAAAATACACAACTTTCCCCCGTTGTGAACATATTTTGGGCTTTTGTAGCACGACACTATTTCTGTGCAAGAAGCCAAAAAGTTTTGCAAAGCAACACAGCAGGTTCAGCTGAAAGTGACGACGAAGCAAGACGACTATAGAGTGTCACGGAGGTGAAAATGAGAACCACCAGGAGGAGCACATTCCTGGGGTAATGAAGAACCATGAATACATTTACAGCTGATAAGATAGATCAAGCGTTTGTATGTGTGTGTGTGCGAGTGTGCATTTGTGAATGTGCCACATGATGGAGAGACGTGTCTGGGCGAGATGGTAGGTTGAGGATATGCGTCTGCTGTTCCAAGGACGGGGACAGTCATAACGGCCGCTGTCAGAATATATGGCCCACATCCTTCCTGCACTGGGCACATGCAGCAGCTATAGGCGCCTCACTCACTACATAAGGCGAAGGATTCTCCCATCTCCATGTTTACAACCTTATTAATGAAACTTTTGTTTTGTTTTTTTTATAACAAGTTGCAGTGGTCAGGGGAGATGGGGTAGAGCGCAATAATATGTTGGCTTAGAAAAAAAATTATCCAAAAAACAAATAATTACTCGAACATGCATAAATCGAAAAACAGCCAAAAGCAGTGAAGTCCATGTTGCATGTTGTGTCCCTTTAAATGATTACGTGGAGAATAAAAGGGAGGGCATGATTGATTTTGTTCACCTCTCAGCTCTTGGACAAGCGCCCACTCGAGGTGTGGCAAAAATTGCTTTGCTGGATTTCGCTGACGGACGAAAAGGCGATTGGAGACATTGTAAAGTAAAGTACTGACAGCTCTTGGTCGCACCAGACACAGACTAAACACAACATGTGCGAGGTACGGAGCAACAATCCTGCCTTCTTTATCTAATAATTTAAAAAAAAGAATACTTGAACACGTGCAAGAGCCCTGCGTGTCACTATTTGACACTTTGAGCTGAGAGCAGTTGAGTGAGGGTGGTCCTCTTTTAAAATCCTTTCTGGCAGAAAAAGCTGATATAGAATACTAAAAATCCATGAATGTGAAAACTGATAGAACCAAAAGCTTTGAGTGAAGAACTAGTTAGAGTTTATTATTACATAGTTACTTATTTTTATCATTATTATGAAGCTTGACAATTAGGTACCCCACCTTTAAACAAATGGATTACAAAAATGTTCGAAAAAAAGGCAGTGAACAAAAACATGAAAGGAAAATGTAAAATGGACAAAAGGTTCACAAGTCCATATTCACTTCAAACAAATATCAATCAAGGAATCAGCCGTCATAAATTCATCAACTGTAATGGTGCATTCTCATCTTTTGCTCAGTACAGACAAATCACAGAAAGAATCAGGTTAAGGTACAATTCTCTCACTAACTCTTATTAAAAATGCACCAAAGAACCACATTTCCCATTGTGACTTCGCAGTGGTTTCTTTGGGTGGAACAGACAGGGCTCCAAAAGCTGCTCGGTGAGATTGGGTTGAAGGCAGACACTAACACACGTCAGCACTTAATCCCTTTTCTGACACATTGCTCCCAAACAGAGTTGCATAACAGCTCGACACATGAATCCTGGTCTTTCACGGCACACAGCTTTCCACAAGTGAATTATACCACGCACTAAAAGTTGGGGATATGCAGCTTGTGTCCGGCATTTCGGGATGAAGGCAAAATGCGCTACAACCTTCAGAGAGGACCTTAGGGTTAGGGTCGACGTTTGCAAAAGTTTCAGGACTTTTTGCAACTGAATTCTGGTTTCCGACAAAAAAAGATAGTCGTAAAATTGTGTTTGATCCATAAAAGACAAGTTTATTTGTCTGTTATATTGATATACGTAAAAAAGTATTGTGCAGGTTTCTTCCCATATCTTGTTGAGGTACATCCACTACTGTTGTAGATTTCTCCTTTAACATATTTTTAAATACAGTATTTGAGATGAAACAAACCCACCGATGAATGCTTCGTCTTAAATGCCCTACTTTCATAATACAAGATTGTTGTCGCACAAACTCATCATATTTTACCCCGAAAGCCAAATATATCAAACTCCTTGTGAGTAGAAAGTGTCCATGTATCGTGTTTTCACCTCTGTGTCGAGAATCGGGTCGGCGGGGCACGCTCCTCTCCGCCTCTCGTCTGGACGTGTGCATGCCGTGGAATTCGTGAGGCGCTTCTCGAGTAATCTCCCTCAGCTTCTCCGCTCTCACTGAAGATGGAAACAAGGCGTTGGATGAGGAAAGAAGGGAAAAAGCACCAGAACCCAGAAATAATCAGTTTATTTTTATAATCCCTGCATTTTTTTTTACATAAACAAACATTTCTGTCCTGTAATCTACATCTTTCTGGTTTACAAAATTCTGGTGCTTCTTGCAATAGTTTAAGTTCCTTTTTCAGTCTTTCGTCAAAATGCTTTAAGAGTTTCACCATTGCTAGAAGCCAATCAAATCTGGTTAAAAGAAAAACTAAATCTTCCTTCTAAAAGTAATTGCAATATCAGAGAAAACTCGACTCAGACTAAGCCAATTATCAATGACCCACCAATATCCAAGATTCAAATCAATCCATTTTTGACAACCCAACAAACACCACAGCAGTTGCAATGAATGTCTTGCAAAATTGGTGATTTACCAATAGCAAAATAGAAAATCAGATGAATGGATATGTTATCGACCACCCAAAGGGAAATCATATATGCAGAAGCAAAAAGCAACCATCAGACTCACGCATAAAACAATGAAACCCAAGTGCACTAATCAATACATGTTCCAGAACATTCTTTTCTTATCCATGCTTCGTCGGCAAGGAAACAGGTACACATAACAAGTGTCTGTTTTTATTATATTCTATACCTCTAACCAGAACTTATTCTTACCGAGGAGGGAAAGTGAGAGCACTGCACCGCATAAGCTACGTCTACATTTTGAGGATATTCACACAAAAAACTAAATCAAAACGACGATACTGCAGACTGCCATGTATACAAGCTACATTTACCAACAGGATAATGTTGCAACGCTGAAACCTTTTTTTTAACAGATTCTACTTTCTAAAATGATCCAATCCCTCTATAAACTTGAACTGTATTTTGCATTATGTTACCTGGTCCTCTCGCGTCGCTGGCATGGTTGCTGTTTAGACAGCTGGTGTAATTGCTGTGATGTCCGCTGGTGTGTCCACTGACTCGGCTCAGAGCGGAGGGAGTCTTCTGGACCGACGCTCCTTGACTCAATGCGTTCAATGCGTTCAAGTTCTCTCTCGTCAGCTCCAGCTTTTTCACGGGGGGAACGGGTGAATCGGGTCCTGCAAACAGTACATTTAAATACGATGAAAATGCGATCTCTGAACAACGCGTATTCTCACCTTTATAGATGCAAACAGTCACAACAAAAGAGCTAGAGTTTGGAGTTGCTGCTGCTAAAAGTGCAGTGTTTTGAGAGCTCTGACGGACAGTGAGTGGCACCTGGGGCAGGGGCCAGTGCACAGAGCTGGAGGAGGGTCTTTAAAAAGGGATCAAGCTCAACAGCCAAACAAATCCACGGATACATAATCCGGCAAATGTTCAGCCGGTGTCAACAACTGATTTGCGTGAGCCCAAGAGAGCCACTGGTGCCGTGTTACCAAACTCACTTCAGCTTGTTTTTCCAAATAAAGGCATAAATATTTGCTCTGCATGGATTTCTTTCGGAATAGACTAGAAGATGCAATCCTGTAAATCCGTGTGAGTAGGTACCCTTTATTCATAGAGTACCTCCAAAAGACCAGATTTTAGAAAATTGGCTTGAGAGCTAATAACTAGTTAGAAGGATTGCATAGTTTCATCTTTTTATAGTTTGAAAATCAGGTATTGTAGTTTTAAGAAATGAGAGTTTTAGGTTTCACAGTGAGTTGCCAGATCCTAAAACTAAAAGAGGATTACAGATGATGCGTCTCAACATCAACAATACGAGCAAATACATTAACTAACTTTAAAGTCTGGATTTTAGTTCATGTTTATCAATCAATTAAATATGTATTTGCAAAGCACATTTAAAACAAGCTTGTCTTGCCAAAGTTCTGTACAGACAAAAAAGCACAATAAAAACTACAGAAATAATAAACACAGAAGTATATATACACATAAAACCCCGAGAAACTTGTCTCTTTCCACCTGGTATAAAAAGCCAAAGAGAAAAAGTGCGTCTTAAGCAAGGATTTAAAGTGCTCGAGTGAAGTTTATGTGTCTGAAGATTATGTTTATGTAAATTAAGGTTTGAAAAAGACTTAAAATCTACAAACCGTGTATGTCCCCGTTGACAGAGCTCTTGTAGTGGTTGCTGTTCTCTGCAATTATGGCACTTCCATCAGGATTGGCGTAAAAAAGCAGTAGAGGCTGGAAGTGACCTTTCACACATTTGCTGACCACGTCTTTCCACCTGGAGCCGATCTGCAGAGACAAGAGATGCACGATGCCAGGAGTTCATTAGGAGACAAGAGGCACTGCTGCAGTCCAGGACACAGAGGTATCAAATATATATTCAATATGAAAAAGCTAAAATCATACTGTTTATTACTATGTTACAACTTTTTTACCCCCATTATAAGAATGTTTTAGCTCCCATCAAGAAACACATCCTTTTGCCACTTTTGTCTCTATGTTCCCATCTTAAACTTGGTACGCCAACGCTATAAAGAATTGTTAAAACATAAAACAGTTTTCAGATTTTCTACCCAATATTGCCTGCAAACCCACTATTTCAAATCTGCAAATCCAGTGAAATAAAATTGTTTATAATTGTAGGCCTTCAGTTAAAGCCCACCTCCTCGTTGGACCTGAATGTAAACATGGCTGAATATAATTTCCCACTTCCATCGATAGAGGGCAGTGATGGCACAATCATGTCATGTTTATCCATATATATTTGACTTAAAGTGAATGTGAGTTACTTTTCAAACTGAAAAAAACCGAAAATTTTTGAAGACAAGCATCATAACCTCCTCATGCTCACCCCCGCAGCCTCCTGATTGGTTGAAATTATTTTAAAAACATTAAAACCCTTAGTTCAACTATTCTCCTCCAGCAAATCTTACAGGTCATAATTATGCTAAGGGGAGGGACTGTAATTAATATTATTGTGTCCCATGGTTAGATGTAAATAGTTGCCGAGATCACCTTCACTTTGACAACGTTAAGTAATTTTAAAAACTCTTATCATGTTTAAGGGAGAAAATTACACTTTATACCAAATATGTGGTCTTCAAAAAAATAAATGGGAAAAGTGGAATATTTTATCAAGTGTGTATTAAAAGGCCGATTGTAGAAAAAAATGACCAATGACCAGGGGCCTCAAATATTTGAAAACGTTTTGTCCTATCAGGAGGCTGCAGAGGTGCGCATGGGCGGGGCTAACCAGTGCTCGTCTTCATAAAGCTTCCTTCTTATATCAACATTATAATATTTCAACAGAATGCATTTCAAACAAATGAGTCAATATTCTAAAATAACTCCATTGGCGAGGAATACAACTTTAAAGTTCAACATATTCACGACTCAATTCACAAAACTCTTTCTAAATGCACCAAAAGTTCCCAACAAACACTTAAATATGCAAAGAAACAAAGGGGGATACATCACCCCAAAGGCACTTCTAGACAAGCTGCAGGCGAACAGATGTTTGAGAATCTTAATTAACCAGAGGAAGAGACAAGAGACGGGAGAGCGGTGGGCAGATGCTGATCAATGCACAGAGGTCTTTTAGTCACTTTTAGTTTTGTTCAAAGTGCACGAGTTTGTATGTGAGATTTCATAACACTTTTAAGCAACTTTTGTTAAAGTTAAACTCATCAATCTATCAATGTGCAGAAGCCAGTACTTTTCCCTTGTTTTGTCTATCTGAAGGCCAAGCTACAAGCACACCGTGGAAGCTGCGGATTGGAGGTCTTCATGCCTCCGCTCTGTATAATACACTTGCATTCTCTTGTATCTGTGATCGTGTGCTTTGTTCGTGCTGTCTCTACCATCGACAATAAAACATGTCTTCTGTCTGAATTAATGACACGATCCCAGACATGTCATCTTCTTCAGGTGGTGGAAGGATGCGGGCCTTGTCTGTAACATCTAGAGAACAGAAGACTACTTTTTTTTTTTCAAGCCAAAACTGAGAAACCTCAAGAGAATGCATCTGGATCAGCACTTGGACAATCTGCACAGCCCCTGATTCCAGTCAGGCTGTGAGCTGCTGAGACATGGACAGCGTCCTCTTTTGCATGGACACCATTTGGAACCATTGGATTAAACAATTTGGACATAATTTGGAACAATTGGATATCTGAATTTGGACATCATTTGGACTGAATTGGATTGCTGAATCTGGACACTAAAGCTGAAACGTGTGATTGAAAGACACGTCACAGAAGAATTCACTGCTATGGCTCGACACAAATGCAGCCTGAAGAAACCAACACGGAGAAGTGGGAGAGACTGTTTTCAAAGCAATATCTGGAACCACCATCGACTGATGAAGTTTGGTATTTTACTGAAGATTGTTGACAAGTTTTATGAAAGATCTGAACATGTTTTATGTTTTTTATGAGTTTTTGAAGTATTCCGAGTTCTGAGTTTTTTGAAGTACCGAGTGAAGTACCGAGTTTAAGTATTGAGTTATGATGTTATGTTGCTGTTTATCGATCCTGATGGTCACACGTGAATGTATGACCAGAGGGGGGAATGTGAGATTTCATAACACTTTTAAGCAACTTTTGTTAAAGTTAAACTCATCAATCTATCAATGTGCAGAAGCCAGTACTTTTCCCTTGTTTTGTCTATCTGAAGGCCAAGCTACAAGCACACCGTGGAAGCTGCTGATTGGAGGTCTTCATGCCTCCGCTCTGTATAATACACTTGCATTCTCTTGTATCTGTGATCGTGTGCTTTGTTCGTGCTGTCTCTACCATCGACAATAAAACATGTCTTCTGTCTGAATGTAAGACACGATCCCAGACTATGCCATCTTCTTCATGTATTTGAAAGCTAAAGTTCCCACAAAGCTCTGTCCAACTGCAAAATATCAGAGTTTTATAAGAATGAGGAATGTTGCCATAGTGATGAACAAAACAAAATATTAGATCATTTATAACGAGAAGAACGCTCCTACCAGGAATTGTGATTGCGCAATATGTACCAAGTTCCTCGTATTATCTTGGGTAGAGCTAAAAAAAAATCCTTGTAAGTGGGGGAGAGGAGATAAATGTGGTTAAACTGGTTTTGCATATGCTTCTTAGGAACAGATTTTGAGTACTTAGAAAGCCAACTACTGATTTTAAAAAAGTTAAAGCCAAATTACCCGACTTTCAAACCGCAAAAGAGAAACTATATGTAATGAAAATCCATCCAACTTCTTAGTTCAGTTTTCTGCTCTAAAGCTACATGCTGCAAGTGGAAACAGACTCAAAAGTGAAAAAGTGAGCACCAGATTTCACCTAAAGGGTCTATTTGTGACTCACATGGGTCTTTCTTACAAGATTACAAAATACAAAGAGTTTTCTAATAAGAAATACGGAATTGTTCAATTTGCTTTTTGTTGAGACAAACAAAAGGTTAGGTACCCACCAGACCATTCCTCTTATCATTTCCATACTAACAAAGAGCCTTGTGAGTCACTATTTGACGGTTCGAGTTTAGAGCAGATTGGCTGAGCGAGAGTATTCCTCTTTTTCACTTCTCCGTCACAAATTTCTGAGTAGCACACGTGAATTTAGTCTTGTTCAGTCTGTAGTACCGCGAGAATCCCCCGAGCACATGGGTCCTTCAGCTCCAAGCTAGTAATACCCTATCCAGTTATTATCATAGATCCATGCATCTTCTAGATCAGATTTTTTTGGACCGAGGCCAAAAAATACAAGCTTGTGAAAACTAGTGATTTTTGTGGTTTCCCCCGCTTTAAAACAAACCCAAATTAACATGTGTACGGAAAACAAACAGATGGGGTCAGCGAAAGGCCAGCGAGGAATTATGTGATGGGGTTTCAAAATAATCCGTCCAATCGTTTTATTGTATTTAGTGCCTTAACATAACTTGTAACTTTAGTGACAAACATGGATAACTATATATTTTGAGTACGTCTACTTTTTGAATCCCACCAGCTGACAAAGCAATGAACAAAAAGTGTATTCATCAACTCCTTTTCTGCAGGTAGAGCATTGGCAGTTGCTGAGTGCTTGAGTTCATGCATCAAGGCGAGAGCGGGGAGAATGAGAGAGAGAGAGAGAGAGAGAGAGAGAGAAAGGGGGGAGATGGGATGGGGAGAGCGCCACACAGCATGAACCCCGCTGACGGATTGACGTGAAACCAATCAAATGCAAAAACCGGAAAACATTAGCTGAAACGAAAAAAGACGCTCGAACCAACACGGAACCAAAACAATAAAACACAAAAAAAAGAGATTATGAAGAAATATGGTCCGAAAGAGCGCTTTTGTAATGGATGGGAGGAGAGTTTGCAGCTCTGCGTATTCCGGGGGTCTGTAATGGGCTTTCACTTGTTCAGCTCCAGTTCCCTCCTGCAGTTTTTCTGATGACAGAGTCGGACGTGCTAAAGACGAGACTGCTGGGGCGAGCTGACTCCTCACTCCGATAAAAAGTCATCAAGGGCGATCGATTTTTTTTGCCGGACAATAAAGACAATCAGCGATCGTCCGAAAACCGATAATGCCAGCGCGTGCCTGATACAAAGCCCTCCGAGCGACACTTTGGAGTAGAGCTGACAAATCGAATCGGGGAGAACAAAAAAAAAGCAAATTACCTTTCAAAAATCCCTTTGTTTTATAGTTCTGAAAGGATGCAAGGATCACTTCATATGCAGAAAGAATAGGGCATTAAGAAACCAAAGAAAAGAGCTGAATAAACTATTGTTTTCAATGTCAAAGGTAAAATACCGACTTGGATAATTGTTGGCTCATTACATGTTTTACTTTATTTCTTTAGACTTATTCATGTGTATCGTTTAGCAAATTTCCCCAAACTATACAAAATGGTGGTGCAACGGTTAGAGCTCGTGCTTTCACAGCAAGAAGGTCCTGGGTTCGATTCCACCTCCAGGCCTTTGTCTGTGCATGGTCTCCCCGTGTCTGTAGGTTTTCTCCGGGTTCTCCTACCACTAAAAACATGAACGATAGGTCTGAATGTAATGAGTGAGTGAATGGATGGGGTTCATTTGGGGCTTAGATGCTCCAGTGTGTTCGGCGTCTCGCTTCCCTCATTACTGTGTGTGAAGAGGATGAACAAATCATTGTAAAGCACTTTGGGTGACCTTGGTCTATCTATTACTATTACTATCATTCACCCATAAAGATACTTACAGATATGTCCCCACTGTGGGACAAATAATCTTAATCTCAATATATTTGGAGCATTGGATAATCAGAGATGGGATTGATTGAAGGCTCGTTTGTAAGAATTGACGTCTTCAGCTCTCCTCACCTCTTTCACTGTGGCGTCGTCGAAGAACACCCACTTGGAAGACTTGGTGTGGAAGGCGAAGGCACAGTAGTGGCGGCTGGAGAAACAGATCATGCCCACCAGCAGCAGTTCCCCCTTTTTCGCGTGCTCGTCCGTCACTCTGGAGAAAAGCTGCAGCAACACACACACACACACACACAAACACACACAAACACGATTCGAGTAAGTGCAAAAGGCGATAACTCACAACAGCACGATAAGTGGAGAGACGAGTGACGGATGTTAAGACAAAGGGTTCCGCCTCTCCACATGTGTATGGATTATGGTCTGGGGGCATGCGGAGCCATCGATTTGACGATCAGTTAGAATCAAGGCGAGATTTGACGAGTTCCCCACGGCAGGAAACAAATACAATTCGTAACAGGTTCTAAAATGGCTGAACTAATGTCTGGATTTAACCAATGGGAAGTAGATTTTAAATGACTACATGAATGCTGTGATATTTCAAGTCATCCATTAATTAATGACTAAAGTACAATTTATAATTGAAATAATTGTGTATTTGTGAGCATCTCTTTGGTCACTCACTCATGCATGAATTTAATTCTATAATAATAAACATCCCAAATGAGACGCAACATTTTTTGGTCCCATGATCAGAATCTTAAAGGGACTGTATGTAATATGCACCGTTAATGGTCAAATAAAGTCAATTATACTTCTGTTACCAGAATCTTTCTCCCTGTGACACATGAAACTCCTGAACATTGATTACCGATGCAAACCACTTGCTGGGGTTCATCTAGAAACAGTAATACGTTTATTACATATGACTAATTACTATTGTGTCTGCAAAAGCTGAATTTTAGATGGTTTCAGCTCAAAAAAACCTGCAACTCAAATGAGAGACTTAAACTTCTCACTAATTGGATAATCTGTTGAAAACCATGAACATAAATATTACATACATTGTGCCCATTTTTTTTTTTTTTTTTATTAAAAAACCCTCCACATTAAACTTTTGAAATGGAGGTATGACAGTGTCCCTTTAAGACAATTTATACCTGAGCCAAAATAGTCAAATTCCAATGTCTTTCCAGAACAATACATATTTTATTCATTGTCTTAGCTTAAAATTTACAGTTCAGCCTTGAATTTTGTCTTTGTTACAGACACAATGAAGTGAATCAGCAGGGTGGAGGCCTAATAAAGTCACATAAAACACAGTGATTGAATAGAGTCTTTTGTGGCTGACCAGTGGGAGGCAGCCCATCCCATGCCCATCCCATTCTTCTCATGGTGGGCTTTGAAAATGTCAAACAAATACTTTGAATACTTTTTGCGGGTGTTATGTAAATTGTGGAGCGTATGATGCGATGTCGTCCTGGTTTAAACTGCAGTGATGTAATGTATGCCGCGCTGTAAACGAGTTATGCAGTGTCACAGAGATGAGAGCAGAGAGAGCTTTTTGATCAGCCAACTGGGCACAGGGCGTCCACTGCTTATGCAACCTCCTCCGACTGATAAATCCCCCACTCCAGTGCTCACATACGTCTGTAGCACCAAAACAAACATGTCCAAGAAGCTAGAGTTTTACCAGACAGCATTTCATCGTTAGGACGGATCTGGTCGTGGAGGTTTGACCCAAAATCGCGGACGACACCACCCTCATTGGACTCATCTCCAACAACGATGAGTCCGCCTACAGGAGGGAGGTGGACCGGCTGGTGTCCTGGTGCAGTGGTAACAACCTGGAGCTGAACGCCCAGAAGACAGTGGAGATGATTGTGGACTTCAGGAAGAGCACTGTCCCCCCACCCCCACCCTCCGTAATGGACTCCCCCATCACCTCTGTGGAGTCCTTCCGTTTCCTGGGCACCACCATCACCCAGGACCTCAAGTGGGAGCCGACCATCAGCTCCCTCATCAAGAAGGCCCGGCAGAGGATGTACTTCCTGCGGCAGCTCAGGAAAGCCAAGCTGCCTGCACAGATGTTGGTGCAGTTCTACACGGCCATCATCGAGTCCATCCTCACCTCCTCCATCACCGTGTGGTTCGCTGGAGCCACAGTCAGGGACAAACAGAGACTACAGCGCATTGTTCGCTCTGCAGAGGAAGTGATCGGCCGCAGCCTTCCATCGCTGCAGGACCTGTACGTTGCCCGAGCTCGAGGCCGGGCTGGTCGTATCACAGCCGACCCCTCTCACCCTGCACATGGACTATTCCAACCACTCCCCTCAGGCAGGAGGCTGCGGTCCATCAGGACTAGAACCTCCCGCCACAAGAACAGTTTCTTCCCCTCTGCTGTTGGACTCTTGAACACTTCTTAACCTGTCCCCCCGCCCTTTTAAAGTCACTTTACTGCCCATCATACGTCACTTTACTTCACTGTACTGCTGTCACCTTACATTGTGTGCACCATGTGCACTTGTATATTGTAAATAGTAACTGTAACTCTATTTTAAATTTAAATTTATTTGTGTTTTTGTGTTTTTTATTCTTATTTTTATTATCTCTTTTTGACTGTTGCACTGAGCCAAAGCAATTTCCTAGTCTGTGACCTCCTGTTACTTACGTGGCAATAAAAATGATTCTGATTCTGATTCTGATGAAATATTGCCCCGTTGTGTGACGTTTATGCAGCCTGAATATATGTAGGATGTAGAAATGACAAATCAAAAATGCCAAAGCAGATTTAAAGTTTACATTTAGTAATATGAGAAACCTTCATCCCTCTGAGGTATTGTTTAGATGGTGAAATAAACGTTTTTTTAGTGGGCTGATAATCTTTGAATTTAAGGGATTTTAATTTAACAAAAATTCACAGTAATTCATTCTGAGTTCTAAACATGATATAACATATTATATTACATTATACCAGGATTTCACCATTATGTGCACTTTAGGACCTTTGTTAAAGCATTGCTATGCATTTTATTTTTGAAATAATTGGCTCCATCGAATCTTCTTACATCCCATTCCGGTTTTTCCCGCTCTGCCCCCTGTTGACTCACCTTGGAGAGTTTGAGGATTGGTCCGAGAGATTGGATTACTTCTTGAGTTTGGTCCGATTGCTCCGAATCCCAGATGAGGCCAATGATGACGATCTCTGGGCAGTTCATGAGGACGCGCCTGATTTTGATCTTCTGTCCACAGTTATTCTGGGGAAAAAAACAAAAACAAAAACAATGGAAACTACTTAGTGATATGATTCATGACAAATTACTCAAATGTTTTGGTTCAGCAGTGCATCTCCAGGACCAAATTTTCTTCTTCAGCAAACGGAGACATTGTTTTCTCATCAAAAAAAGGCCTTGGAGGCGTTTTTAGATCCATCCACTCTAATATCAAGAATATCTGTCATAAACATTTAACTCTGCCCCTCCCCTCTCAGTCCTGGTATAGTATGATGTCATTGTACCACTATGACATCACACGCCGGAGCAGTTTCCAACCCCATGGAAGTGTTTTCAGCTGGTAACTTTTGAATTTGTGAAACGTAACAATTTCAACAACTTTTATACTTACGACATGTCACATTCTCAACCATTAAATGACAAAGTAAAAAGTATAATCATTTTTATCCATCCATCCATTTTCTACCCTTTAATCCATTTCTGGGTCAGGGGGGTGGCAATCAGAGATGCACCCAAGTCTCATAGCACCAGCCCCTCACTGACCCTCTGCAGGTGGTGAGTCCACAGGAGGACGGCTGCTCTCTGAGTGTGAGCATAGCCTTGATCTTTCAGTGGGGGCTTTGGGCAAAGTGGGGTTAAGTGTCTTGCCCAAGGACACAACGACAGCAGTCATCAGTGGGAGTCGGTGGAGAAGGTGCAGAGGTGGGAATTGAACCCCTTCTGGCCTTAAGGCCAATGCTCTACCAACTGAGCTACTGTCGCCCTAATCATTTTTAATGGCCGTAAATAGGTAAAAATATTTCTTCTTTAGCATACATTGAAAAGAAAGGGTGGGGCTGCAGAGTCAGATAAGCAAAATTTTCCACTTTAACATATTTTTTGTAATTATTCCTTTCATCATCATAATAGTGCTTATCTGCCAACAACATGATGACTGAGATCTGTTGCACATACCGGACAGTTTCGATAGTCCCCCATTGTACTCGCTGCTTGCAACAATTCCCCGAACGAATCCACATGACGCCGATGCAACTGTTGACTAAAGAGAATAAAAAGAACACAAGGTTAAGATAAAAATCAGCTTTGTCAGCTGCTGTGTGTAGTAGAAAGTGTCGGCTAAAAAGGAAGACACGTTTGAAAGGCCTCCGAGCAAAACATGTAATGGAAAAAGCACAAAAAGAAGTGGACAAAAGGAGTCGGATTTCTGTTTTTTTGTACCATAAAGCGGTGGTGGAGACGTAATGGACGAGCTCTGTGAAAGGCAGCGGATCTGACGTGGCCCCACAACTGTGACACACAACCTGGAAAAAGACAAAAGAGAGAATGTGTAAGTTTAGAAGTATGCCCCGTTTGGCAGTTCTGCTTTTCTCTTTAGAGTATTCTTCATGGAATGAGATGGACGAGATGATGCGAGGGTATTGCGTTTCCTGAATAAATCAGAAATCTTTGTCACGTTCATAAAGACTTTAGTTTTGTGGTGGTTTATTTCTCTTCTCCTCCCACATGTGCCCAAACCACACAGTGTGAGTCTGTGGTCAAACAGGGTTCACTGCAGTCAGTCTCACAGCTGCTCTGGTCTCCGTCAGCAGTGAACCCTATTGGTGAGAATAATGGCAACTGTGACGAGGAGTAAGAAGAAACAACTCTGTGAAGTCGGCCTCATAAGACCTGCCTCTACACAAAACTGCGGCTTTAAAGTTATTATTGTTATAGATCAGCTGTGTGAAGAAATATGTAATGTGTCTGACCGCCACTGTTTTGGCTCGGGAAGCGTTAAAAGGGCCCTTTACATCCATGCAGACTCATCACGTTGTTGACCTCGAGTTGTAGACTTCACTAGAGCCTAATCTGTCTCAAAGCATCAGGGAGCTGCTACATTTGCAACACATTGTGTCCGTTTTTACTTATCAAACTGTAAAATGGATATGGAAATAATCATGGCAGGCATATGAATGGCTAGGTGAGTATGAGGAGAGCATAATTCTCAAACTCAAGATTACAGATTATAAATAAAATATGCATTAGCCACACTGACACAGCTTTGAAAGTGTAAATCACAACGGAAAAAACTAAAACATGATCAAAAGCTGAGAAAAATCTATTTTGATGTTCAACTTGAAAACATCCAGACATAATGTTTTGTCCAGCAAACTGTTAATATCCATGGCCCTACTTTCTAGTCATTCTGAAAGAGTGGATTAATTCACAACAGAGCAAAACAACCTTATTTTTTAAGTGAAGCAGATCCTCATGAATATTTGGAATGAAAGCATATATAAGACGGTTCTTATGTTTGCCGTTTCAGGGCAAAACAAGCACATTTGGGAGACTGGGGTGGAGAGTTGGATTGGGGCATCTCTGTCACTATGGCAGGGTGTTGGTACGGAACCGTCTCAGTAATTTGGCTTTCCGTGTTCGACATGTGGGTTTATCGGAAACTGCAGTCAGCCCCTCGGTGCGGAGTCAGAGCCGAGACGCCCTCCTTATTCCTCTGGGGCAGCGCGTATCACAACATGACTGATTGGATTTCTGCAGTCCCAGACAGTGATGCATGTGCCCACTGGAGGCTTTGTGCGTTCTCTTTGTCCAATTCAGTCGTGTTGGGTGAAACTCCACAGCAAAAAAAACTCACTCTTTTTATTTTTAGCAGTGCTTTCTGACAACTTTTCCATTGCTTTTTGATCTACGCACAGTTTAGAAAAGAGGCCAGCTTGCTATAAAATGTGGATTTATCTTACATGCCGCGCATATATCTGATGCTGCCACAGTCCATAGAGGAAAATGAAAGCGTTCCCACATAATTTCAATTGGATCTTTAATTAAAAAAATGCAATACCGCAATCTCCCTATGTAATATCACTTTCGTCAACTTGGAATTGCGCTCCATCAAGTACAATACCCTTTTAATGATTTATAGACTTCAGGACTAAGCCAAGTATGATAATGAAACTGCCTTTAGAAACTTATTACCCCCATCTTTTAAACATTGTACTCCCACAGCTACTTCTGCTGTTTGTTGTTGGGTAATTTTCTTCCATAAAACTTTAAAAAGGGGTAGTTTTTGTACTGACCTGCTCATAAATGGACATGGCAAACTTCTGATGTGTGATGCAAGACTTTGAAGTGCAGGCGTTTTCCTGCTCAGGCACTATATGCATGTGGATCCTCTCCAGTATGATCTCCTGTGAAGAAAGAACGGGGGATTTCAGAGAAAATATGAAACGTAACTTTTCTGAGAATCCTACATGGAAAAGAGCAGGCTTTCAGAGAAGACATGTTATAAAATGTACAAAAAGAGAACCCAGATTTAGTGCGTTTCTATGGAGTGCTTAACGGTTTGTAAAACGTTAGGAGCAGAAACTAGGGCTGGAAAGGTTACAGGAACAACTTCACAGACTGTTAATCTGACACTGGCCAAGTCTTCACACAAATTCCTTTGCTGGCATTTTCTCTGCCAATACATTACTTGGTGAATGCACAAGGTCAAAGATCTAAGTGGGAGGTGTTTTAAAGGCGACTGTGTGAAAAAGAAACAATTCATGTGAAGTGGGGTTTGAGTAAACTTTTGGTAGCATTTCTTAAAAGATTCTTGAGTTTCAGAGGAGTTGATACAGTTTTACGGTACACCCAATTTTTGTTCCAACCAAATGCAAACAGTAATTCAAAGCTGGGGTACCTAACTTATTGTGGTTCTGTTTCATAAATACATTTTGTTTGTCCCAACAGAAAAAGTCTTGTTTTGCACCATAGAGAAATCTGTCCTCTGCATATGACCCATCCGTCATTCCCCGGAGGACCTCTGTCTTGAGCAGTGGTCGCCGTAGTACAGCACCCGTGGACCAATCTCCAAATGTTGATGCTCGGCTTGGTCAGGACCAGAGCTGGAGGATTTTTAACTATTGTACATGTTTTTAGTGATGGGGGGGAAACTGAAGGACCCAGAGGAAACCTGGGGAAAACATGTAAACTCAGATGGAGCCTGTTACGACCGGGATTTGAACCCAGGAGTCAGTAACAAATTACATGACTGCTTGATTTTATTAGAAACATTTGATCCTTTAAATACTGAGGGTTGAGTGCGGGCTGGTCCTCTCATTCAATTAAAAAGTTGATCAAAATATGTCACAAATACATGCATGTGTAAACTAGTGATAGAACCAACAGTTTTGAGTGCAGAGACTAGTTTATCGCTCTCAAAACATGGATTCTCTTAATCCATGTAATCCCTCCCAGTTAATTTGTAGTGGTTCAAAAGTTAGGTACTCCAGCTTTAATGGATTCATTCTTTCCATAACACGAATCAGTCGTCCTGTCCCTTCAGCAGAAAAACAGCCCCAAAGCATGATGTTTCCACCCCCATGCTTCACAGTAGGTATGGTGTTCTTGGGATGCAACTCAGTATTCTTCTTCCTCCAAACACGACAGGTTGAGTTTATACCAAACAGTTCTACTTTGGTTCATCTGACCACATGACATTCTCCTAATCCTCTGCTGTATCATCCATGTGCTCTCTGGAAACTTCAGACGGGCCTGGACATGCACTGGCTTCAGCAGGGGGACACGTCTGGCACTGCAGGATTTGATTCCCTGTCGTCGTCGTGTGTTACTGATGGTAACCTTTGTTACTTTGGTCTCAGCTCTCTGCGGGTCATTCACCAGGTCCCCCCGTGTGGTTCTGGGATTTTTTATCACCGTTTTCATGATCATTTTGACCCCACGGGATCAGATCTTGCGTGGAGCCCCAGATGAAGATTATCAGTGGTTGAAATATCGTTTTGGGCTACATTTGGGCTATCTTTTTTACAGATAACGAGTTCAAACAGGTGCCATTAATACAGGTAACGAGTGGAGGACAGAAGAGCTTCTTAAAGAAGAAGTTACAGGTCTGTGAGAGCCAGAGATCTTCCTTGTTTGAAGTGACCAAATACTTATTTTCCACCATTATTTACAAATAAATTCTTTAAAAATCCTACAATGTGAATTCCTGTATTTTTTTTCCACATTCTGTCTCTCACAGTTGAAGTGTACCTATGATGAAAATTACAGACCTCTGTCTTTATTTTAAGAGGGAAAACTTGCACAATCGGTGGCTGACTGAATACTTTTTTGCCCCACTGTAATTGAGGTATATATTTTTGACTGAGAATGGTCCATTTGATTCATATCTAGTACAAACCAAGGACCAGAATAACATTTTCCCTGCCACAACCACAATATGATAACACATGTAGTGAAATGATAGTGCGCTGTGGTTCAGATGCTGAGGCTTACATAAGCTGTCACACTGATATTTAGCGGCAGCGTGGCGCGGGGCGATGGGAGGGGAAGTAGCGAAAAGGGAACGCAGGCTCTTTGAACGACCTCCAGTTCAGAGCCGTGGTAGCAGCAGGCGGCCGCACCAGTCCACTCCTGAAGCACGGATTACATTTGGCATGAATTTTCCACATTAGGATTATCGGGATCACACTACAATATGACGGTGTATCGAGGAGTTAAATAAATATTTGTCATGTCTAAAAACATGCTTTTTTTCTCGTGCACTTAACTATCCAACCACTCCAGTATAATATTGAAATGTGTTTTTCCCCAGATCAATATTTAATAACGATTATACCCTAACCCTTCTGACTAACATCACGCTAATGTTTTTGAATATTGTCACTACTTCTAGACACCTTAATGAGAAAATAATTACACATGGGCCCGACAAAAGGATTTGTAACTTTGTAATAGTTCTGTTCTATCTGGAATGACCCAGGAACTACAGAGAAATGTGCTCTAAACTAAGACTAGAAGTTTGATTGACACTTGCCATAGTTACCAGGAACAAACTGCCCCCCACCACATGGTACTATAAATGGACAGACTGATTATGTATCATCGTTTGTGGCAAGATGTACAAAAGACTGTATAAAATGGTGTCTCTGAACACACTGACAATTCACTGGTCACTTTTTCATTCTGTCCATATCCTTACACTGCGATTACATATCTATCACTCTAAAACCCTGCCTGTTAAAGGCATGGCACATATAGTCAGGGAATTTTGAAGCTACAGCATCTAAAACCTCACTTTGGATAAAGTAGCTTAGTACATGTTTGATACTTCATCTAAGATCATTAGACGCAGAGATTAGAACAAGTATCAAAACAAAAATGTACAGTGCTCCTTTTATTCATACGGTTTTAAAACTATCCCTTTTCCAACAAGCTGGTGCTGGTTTTGGTTCTGAAATAGCTGAAATCCGGTCAAAACAATTTGAAAAGCTAGCTAATTCTGTTGGCTAGTAAACATTGGGATGCTATGGTAACGGACACTGACATTGGCCAGAAGCAGCACCAATCTACGTAGAACCAGCTCCTCTCTGGAAATAGATTTGTTTTCAGATTTTTATGCCAAAAATAATTAGATGAAAAGCTCCATCCACAGTAATGTTGTCATGGCATGTTAGGAATACGTTAAATCTTATTTTTTTTGTTCCCTTTCTCAAAGTGTTGAGAAAGTAAAATGTTTAAAAAAAAAAAAAAATCAGTCACTCATATAACCTTTATATCAGGAAAAAAAGTTATAATTTGCACACTCGTGAGAATCTCTCTTTTTTCTGTTAAAAAAATGCTGATGTGACACATGATGTGAAAAAATACATGCAAGTGAAAACCTGTGATGAAACAAAACAGTTGACAGCAAGTACCTACTTCAAAAACCAAAAAAAAACAATGGGATCATCATCATGTGGTTTGATTTGTTCAAAACATTGCATTTTAACAAGTCTCTTTCTCTTTGGACAAACCATATGGATCATCATTGATAATCCTTGATATTTCCTAAGCATGGGCACTCACAAAGCACTCTGCAGCGTCGTCCATGAAGCCCAGCTGGAAGCGGTGCTCGTCCTTAAAGGTCTCGGCCAAAGCCACACGCAGGTTGTCCGAGGGCAGTGCGCGCTCCCTGCTGTGCTGGAACTGGGAGAAGATGCCCTAGAGAGAGAAGGATGGGAGGGTCACATTTGTAGGTCTGTCACAGTGAATAAGATGGCAAACAAAGATACCCTTTCTGTGGAAAAGTAAAAACAGGGTAAAATCCGAGGCACTCTGATTAATAAAAAGTCATTTAATGAGGAAAGGGACCAACGTGTTTCGGCCACACAGGGCCTTCTTCAGGGTGACGGGTGTTTAAATAGACACATGACGTCCCCTGGAACATCACGTGACATGACAAAAAGACATCCATTGGACAACAACTTTGAATGGAGAGAGAATATGACGCAAAAATATCTAAACAATGATAACACCACAGTATATGTTATCAAGACATAGATACCATTACAACACATACATCAAATAATACACTACACAGGCTTGGCCCCTCAGTAAACAGCTTCATTTTTAAAAGTACAAAGCAAACATTACAAAAACACTGAAACATCTACATAATTATTAAACCCCGGAAAAACAGTAGCTTTAAGTTTATCGATCCAGAACGTTTCTCTTTGTGAAAGTCTTTTTACTCTGTCTCCACCCCTCAGACTGGCAGGGATAACTTCAATGACCATGGATTGTAACTGACTGCAATCAATTCAGAGGAATCAACATTTATCCCCCGTACATTTTTGTAATAGTGGATATATCTTTATTGTTTTATAAAGATGGAGGCTCACTTACCTTTAGTGCACAAAATATGCAGGAGTCTCCGAGACAAAAGTGTCCAGGTAACTGCCTCAAGCTGCGCCTGAAGATGTCCAGCTGCCATAGAACCTAGAAAATGACAAAAAACTGTTTAAAGGCTCTGCATGTAATGTGCACTCTTATTGGTTGTGAATGCAGATTCTAACTACAGGTAAACCATAAGTCCTTACAGCTTCAACCCAACCTTTGTTGCAATAATCCAATCCAATTGTTTTAGTCAATATTAAAAAAAAGCTAATAATTGTACCAGTTGTGGCTCTGAGAAACTTGCAACCCAAATAATAGACTCATGGAAATAGAAATGTGTTATATTTAACCTAAAATATGACATCTGGCCCTTTTAAAGCACTAAAACAACATGTTATGTATTAAACAAACGGGTTATTGAATGTCTGTGTGGTATGTTGTTTATGCTTTCGAAGGTCACGCGAACAAAACCACTGCTGTCTGTAACAAAGGCGAGAGCAGTGGTCATCTTTAAGAGGCTTGTGGGCGATCTCTGAGTCACACCGATGTGGTCACCCCCGAGTGGGTGGACTAATGAACTCACAACCGGCTTCCCACCACTCACAACCAACCTCCATAACTTACAGTATGTGTGTTACATTTTGCCAGTGACTAAGCTTTGAGATGTCCTTTAGTATTTGAGTATTGTTACTACTGTGAAAATGTAGTATAATGGCTCTTCCTGTCCATCTGATAACTGATATTTCACAAGTATTCAAGGGAACAATACACTCATCTGGAAGCAGATAGGTTTTTTGATTACATTTTGTCACAGAATTCCCTTTCAAATTAAAAAAATCATGTTGCGGTGAATAACTATCAATGAAGGACAGCTCACAGGAAGAATTGTTTCCCGTCTTATCTTAATATGTCCAACATTAACCCTGTAAATGGTTTCCTCCACCTTTTCGAACATTACTTTTTGATCCACTATATACACTTGAAGCAAGTTTGGAACTAAAATCTACCTCGTTTGGGGCATCTCTATCACTTGGTTTGAAGCCCTTTTACCGTCTCAACCACTTTGAAGGCCATAATTAAAAATAAAGGGGAAAAAAAAATCCAAAACTAATATTTGTGTTATTAGTGCTCATACATTTTAGGGAAAAAAAAGAAAAAAAATGACATTGCTTTCTTCAAGTGGTGAACATTAAAAAAAGGTTACGGGTGATTTCTTTGATATTTAATTTCCTTATTGAGAACTGTAAAACAACATGTTCCAGTCCAATTTAGTACCTTGCCAACGCCAAACTGAAGTCTCAAATGCATGTTCATGTATTCTTTTTGCATATCTATACAGGTGTCATTTTATTTAAGAGTCTAGAAGTGAGCTCCCTGAGATTGTATTTTTTTGTGATTTTATTTAGTAGAGAGTTTAGTATAGAGTTCAGCATTGATCATTTATCTTATCCTGTGCTGTGTTCATTTACCTTGTGCTCTGTACTCACTCCTACTGTTCTGTAACTGGTGATGCAACACTGGAATTTCCCTACTGTTGGACGAATAAAGGATCTCTCTTAAATCTAAATCTTAATGAACTGTTCAAACGTGTATACCTGCACAGCGCTGTTGAGAAAGCAGCTGTTCTGGCCGGGCTCGTTCAGCAGTCCTTTGGTGGGGGCCAGAGACAGCATGCTGCCCGGCTGGTAAGAGTTCCCCAGGTTTCTCCCCGGCTTCCTGAATAACTTGGCCCATGCCATTGGCTTGTGGGGTCCACGGACGCAGCAGTGGGACGGCGGGGGAACGGCGGGGGAACGGCGGGGGAACGGCGGGGGAACGGGGCGCTCTGTGGCTAGGTGACTCCACTGGCTTCAGCTGTTAGCCGGCTACACATGGGCCTTAAGTTCAGTGCTGTGGCTCATGATGAAAGTTTGATTGTGCCCCAAAAGAAAAAAAAATTAAAAAGAAGGGGAAAATGGGTGTTGTAAAATCCCAATTTTACGTTTAGGTAAAATGTTCCAGTTTAGTTTGATCCTTGTCTTCTCCCTCCAACGCCGATCCATCTCAAGGTTTAGACTAGGAACTTCTCATGGCCAGACTAGAAAACACAGAAATAAAACACACTTAGTTCAAGCAAGTATTTGAAACCATAGGTCAAAAAAGAAATCTCAATTTTGGAACTTCTGAACAATCTTTTTTTTTATCTTCGCTGAAAGTTTAATACATAAGATGATCATTCAAGGCCATCTTCTTGAAAAAGATACACACATCCTTTTGGCAGGTTCAGAAAAATTGTCCTGGCACAATAAAATACATATTTAGCTTTCCAAATATAACAGACAATCAACAATATTCATCTCAGCAAATCTAGTGATTCTGAAATGTCGATACGATTGACAATAATGACAAGCAGGAAGACTTAATAATGACACAATTTCAGGCATTTCCAGTTCAATAGATTAGAGTCAATGTGTATTTGTATAATCAATGTCCTCAATGCTCTGGTGCTCTTCCTACTACAACAAGCTGGGTCTCAAATGAAAGCTCTACCAGTACCAGCAATTTGTGTTGGTATTCCATTATTGTTAGCACAAGAGAATGCTCGTTCGACCCACCTTGTAAATGGGCGCAATTTGACACAACATTAAAAACACAATTGTGGGTACACCATAGAGCAGAGGATTAGTGTTTGAAAGTGCTGAGCCGGGAACTACAACACAAGAGAGGAGGGAATGTGATCTTCAAGGATTCTACAAACACTGGTTCTTTGTTTTTCTCCTTTATATCTCAGCGTTTGTGACCTTACTTTGCAACAAAGTACAAGAACACAATTATGAGGAAGTCCTCCTTTTGTGCTTCTACTAATGCATGCTACCTTCCACCCACATTCTTCCAAAACATAGTACATATTCCTTCTCTAAAGTAAAGTGTGCCAAAGTTGATGGCAAACAAAGACACTTTCACATGATGCAGGAACTATGAAGGTTTCAATCAAGAACCAGTCAGACAGAATCTATCCCTGGTATGCAAGGAATTCTCTGCGGATTGAAAATACAGTCATAAGATCTACTACAACAAAAGGATATATTGTCTGCATCATCACAACAATCAACACGAGGCTAAAAAATACAATAGTTGACAATAGACTTCATATGGGGCTCCAAAGTTCTATGGAAAAGATAAAATTATTGTTTGAGAATAGCAGTGGTCCTGGGGATGTGCTACCCTACCAGGATCTACAAGATGCACAGGTCTAGACATGACAGGGTAGACCAACTGGATTCTTCTTTTTGAGGCTGCAAAAAGCTGTATATCTTGCTCTCGAGTTTATAAGTGTGAAATAAATGATTGCTGACATTCATTAAATCATAATCTCATCTTAAATCTCAATAAATATAAATATGCTTAAAATGAGCTTAAATTAAGGCCTATTTTAAAAGGTAATCATGTTTGGTCCACTCCAAATCCATCCAGGAATCAGGACTTCAATCATTATAATGGATTAATGTAGCGATTATTCCTTTGATTCATTGATTAGCTGTTTAGAACGTGGATATTTGATAAAACTAGGTTATAAAAAGAAAATGTTGTAATCTTTGAAATAACAAAACATTTGCTCAGTTGTGATTAATCAATTAATCGTTAAAGCCCTAGAATACACAGAAGCAGCATTCTCAATGTCTGTACACTTCCTGTTGCAACATAACTTGCTACTGGTTCTCTTGAAAGTTGCTCACAAGAATCAAATTCTACGAAAATGGGTTACGTCAAAAAAACAAGATAACAGGTGTTGTGGATGTGGTAGAACGTGTCCTACTTACAATTAACCTGGACCCTGAGCAGGAAAGAACTGGTTTTAATTGGTTTCTGGAAATACTTATTGTCACATTGCTGGTCCACTGAAGTTTGTCAAGGTTAGGTGACTTGACAAAAAAAAAAAAAAACCTTCAGTTTATTCCAATTCAAATCAGAAAAATCTGATTGAGGAATCTAAAATGTCCCTTGTGGCCAACAAAGCTCATCTTATGTGGACAACCCAATTAGATTAACTAATAGACATTCATCCCAAAGACGCATAAATAATGACATTAATTAACTTTTGATTATTCATGCTTCATTCTAAACTTGTAATTGCGTCGTATTAGAAAAATACATGGTTGCCCTACTTTGTGGAAACTTGGAGGCTCAAACTTGCTTCAATTGAGTTTTTTATGTGGAGTTGATTTTTTATTAATTCATTTCATTCTTGTATGTTTGGGTTATTTTTGTCCGTTTACTGGTATAATGCATGTTTAATTCTCTGCATACCCAAAATAATGCTGTTCTATTGCTTGGTGAATTTCAAGGTCCTTTCCTTGTTTTCAGCCCATCTATTCATTTTCAAACACAGAGTATATATGACTGCAGTCTTGCTGACAACAGCGTAGGAGTGTGGTTTCCCTTTGGAGTCCCTGAACAGTTATTGCATTATGGGCTCCCACTTGAAAAGCTGCCAGCCTCACTTAGGTTAAGGCGGCTCTCTTTCCAAGTGAAATTGGCACTCGCTGACAACGATTCCCTGGCATCATTTTAAAAGATGATACTTCTCTGCTGTGGGGCAAAGAGCACCATTTGTCAGCACCAGAAAACACAGGGCTTCCTTTGGACAACTTATTTTATAAATAAGAAACAGCGCGCTAGGAGGAAGAATGGGGAGAACGTAAGACTTAGAAGCAGAAGCAGTGGTGTAAGATGGTGATTTCAACGGCTGCAACAAAATCACATTTGTGGAAAATAATATAACATTGCATTTGTAAAGATGTATAGCTTAGAAATGGCATTATTCATCCAATACGTTATTTGAAAAGAGTGGTGGGCTGAATCAAAAGCTCATGAGCAACCCCACCCCCAAAAGATTCACAGTGACACGCATTAAAAAGGCATATCACTGTAAACTTAATAAGCAGTTTTTTTATTAACGTTTTTAAAACAGAAATTGGAAACATCACTGCTAATATTGTTTATTTATTTATGCAGGAGCTATTCAGCTTTGCCATCAACTTCCTGGGTTCATTCATAATAAAAAAGGTTAAAACATTAAATTTCAATAGAATTTCAAATGTGTTCTGTCTGGCATACATGACCCCCGTGGCCCATCATTAAAATGCTTTGGGTAGCAATGGTCCAAATAAACAATGAAGTGAAGATGAACAACTATAAGATTGTGTCTTTTAATAAACAACTGAAAACTTGGGCTTGCAGAATCCATTCATGATTTGTTACTTTGTGGTTAGGGTTTTGGGTATGACTCTACAACAGGGGTGTCAAACTGATCCTCAAAGGGCCGTTGTGGCAGCGTGTTATCATTCCAACCGAGCAGAAGCACACCAGGCTCCAACCAATTCCTCCATTGAGTCCCGTCTTAACCTGGAGACTTGGGGATATCAGGTAAGCAGTGTGGCTGCAGGTTTTAAATCTGACCAAGCCCAAGAGCAAAGCAGACTGCTCCCATTTCCTTAAATCTTCAGGTTACTCACTTGAGGAAAAGGGTGGAGTCTGCTTATCTTCAGATTTGGTCTGATAGAAAACCTGCAGCCACAACAGCCCTTTCTGGACTGGTTTGACACCACCGAATAGGTAGAGTCTGTTGTGGTCAAGCTTGGTTGGAAGTAAAACCAGCAGTCACACCGGCCCTGTCTGGAACCAGTCTGACATCACAGCTCTACAAGCTCTACACATCTAGAGATAAAGTTTTTCACATTTACAATGCAACTCAAGCTCTACCAGAGCTTTTGTGGAGAGCGTTTGTGGCCAGTAGTTTTCACTGAATTTCAATAGGATACACATCTGGACTTTGACTGGACCATTCTAAAAACACATGAATTTTGTAAAATCATTCCATTGTATGGAAAGGTATTTATATTTGTTTATGTAAATATCACGCTCATCCTCAAGTCTTTTGCAGAGACCAACAACTTTTTCCAGTCCTATGTTGCGGTCTCAATTATATGAATGTCCATCCATCCATTTTCTTCCCCTTAATCCATTTCTGGGTCGGTTGGGTGGCAGTCAGAGCTTCACCCAGTTCACAGAGCACCAGCCACTCACTGGTCCTCCTGCAGGTGGTGAGTCCACAGGAGGACGGCTGCTCTATCAGTGACAGTACAGCCTTGATGTTTCAGCGAGGCTTCTGGCAAAGTGGGGTTAAGTGTCTGGACCAGAAGACCTCAGTGCGAGTCTGTGGAGAAAGTCACGCGGTGGGCTCGAACCACCGCCTTCAGGCTCAAAGACCAACTCTACCAACTGAGCAACTGAATCATTTCCATTCTAATGTTTTAGTACTGTACAGTTAGAACAAGCGCTAAACTATTGTGACACTAAATGGAAAAATTGACGACGTGCTTCTAGCGGATGAGGCGCAATGGAAAATTATGAAATATGTGAAACAAAAGTGTGTGTAATGCGCCTCCAATACTATTAAACTCCATTGATTCCAGCCAGATGAAAGTCCTGTTTCGGTGCTGATAAAGGGCCCAGGTGGAGGGAAAATGCCTCAATTGGCCGACCACGAGGTTGTCACGGAGCCAAGTCTACATCATTAGCGCTGTAAGCCAAGACGCATGTTGACACCTTTCCTCCTCCAGTCCTCGGCTAAAGTTACTTACAGCTGCTTCCCTCGCATTTTCCGCTGCACAAATTCAACACAAATTCGACACAAATTCAACGGATGACATGATGTGCGCTGAAGTCATTGCTACTTTCAGATAAAACGAATGTCACTTCTTTTGCAGGAAAACTTTGTGATGCCGCTTCACTATTCTAACCATGCAACCAAGTCCTTTTGATGGATTGATAATGAATAAAATACTATGCAATTACGTCACTTCTAAGAAAAGAGTCTATTCCAAACGTGTCAGACAAGACAAGAGGGGTCATGGCAAGAATGCAATGTTGAGCAAGGTGTAAAAAGATCTTCGCACTGACTTGAGCAAACTTACAGGTGGTGAAATGTCCAAACACCAACTTGTTACAAGATATGAGGCATATGGAGTGAGTAGGCAGTGTCATTGGTTAGCTCTGGGGTAAATGCTAAATGCCCTCTTTAATGACAATTTATAT